TTTTACTGAAGATTAACCATTGTGCATCCAGGCTCACAAAAAGGTGGGGAAGATATTAAAAAAACAAGAGGGAGCCCAATTTTAGGATAGCGTTTAGAGCACCCTATGTACAGAGAGTAAGAACAGAAATTCTAATCCCTGCAAGTTATATTTATTTTACATCGGACAAGTGTTGACCAAAAGAACCCAACAAACAAACAAACAAACAACAACAAAAAAACCCCAACCAAACAAATAAAACTACAGAATCCAAACCCAAAATAAGTAACCAAAACAAATAATCAAAATCAACCAAACAAAAATTAAACAAATCACTACTTTATTGCAAGATTATTTTTTGGACCCATCAGAGCCTTGGGTCAGTTCCTCACAGAGCTGCATGTCTACTAGAGCCAGTGCCCAGCCAGGTGTGGGAGTAAGGCTGAGGACTTGAAGGCAGTGGGACCACTCTGCTGCAGAAAAGTGCTTTCAAGCCAAGTGAAACTGACTGTGCAACCACAGCCTCTGTTTTCTCTCTTTACTTTGTATAGTGAATTTATGCATTTATGATTTCTACCTGCACACTTGCATTAATAATTCCTTTAAGGACGTCTCTTAATTTTAGTGACACAACCTCTTAATTAGCTGAACTGGATCCACTCATTAGCCTACAGAGTTTTAACACAGCTACTGAGAGTTGTTTCCCATGCCATTCCTTTGAACCACAGTCTCTCAACATAATTTCCTGTTAGTACAGTGTCATGTGGCTATTAGCTTCAGACTTTTTCAATATGTTTTTAAGTGTGAGCTATGTATAAAGTATGTATTTATAGCATTCTGCAAATATTAAGCTTATTTTTTCTATCACCTGCATTATTCTTAAGCTCCCTGTGTCCTCTAGTGGTTACTTATCAAAATTGCATAAATTGGCAAACAAATAATTGTTTCCATTTTAGTATCTCAAAATATATTTAAAAAAATAATTAGCTTTCCATCCTATAAATTTTATCCTGTATTCATTCTTATTCCTTTTGTACTAAATTTTATACAACGTGATATTTTATAGTTATTCCTCGTAAGCATCAGCAGTATATGTGGCAGTATTGACAATTTTATATATAATCTTGCACACACACATTTGTCTATTGTCTAGTTATCTGTGTGCTTACTGGAGATTTTAGCATCCATTATGAATTGTGGATGGTTATACAGGTTTTATCAGATATTGTGGAGCATTTCCTTACATACAGAGTCACATTCTTCTCTCACTTGGGCATGCCAAGTTTTTTCTTAGGACTTTAGAAGTTGCTTCAGTCCATCCTAAAATAATATTTGTGTACAAACCACAGCATATTTTTTAAGAATTTGGATTTCAGTCTACTGTGAAAAGCAAATAAGTGAGCACATAATTGACAATCATTCTATAATAAGGACACATTAGGGACAAATGCAAATTTCACGTGTAACTTTATTTGGGACTTTCTGAATTCTTGACTGTATATTATTATAGTGGGATTCAGTTCATTTAGTGTTAACCATTTCAAGTTGTAAAAGCTCTAAGTTAGGGCAAGTAGGCTCTCACTCAAACAGCAGAATAATGGTACTTCTAAAAGGATGTCATTCTATAATATTGACCTGGGAAAAAGGATGAATTGCTACTCTACAGGAGTACCTGACACTTCACATGAACTATATACTTGTCCAGATATACATGGCTGCACTTAGCCAGGTATTCCCATCCTCAATATCCTTTTGAAACAGGAGACATGATTAATTATTTTAAGTGTAACAAACCAGTGAAACATTAATAAGTATTTATTAGGTTTGGATGCAATTTATGTGAATGAATATGCTAGAATAGTGAAGAACCCTTCCATGTGGATTGAATAGAAGTATTTGTACATTTGCAGAAACTACTTCACACTGAAGTATAGTATACTTCCCAAAATGTAACTCTTGGAGGGAAGGAGGCACTCCCCTGAATTTGAAGTTCTCTAAGTAAAAAATTCAGCCTTTGCCAAGCACTTGAAGTGGAATTATTTTCATTCTAAATAAAAAGAAGATACCAAATGTATAAGGATCAGAAAATTGATTACTGAAAGGGAAGTTTTAGAGAAAAAATAGAAAATGCTATCACATATGCTTGCAATACTACACCTTCCTCTGTTCCCAAGACGTTTCAGGTCACCTCATTGATCAGTGGATAAAGAATGTTTTAAGGTTTCAAGATCACTCCACTCTGAACCACTAAAGCCATTTGATTAAATTATTGGTAAGAGACATCGAGTGAGAAAAAAAGATGTCAACAACAACACTCCTTGGAAAAGATCTGATGACTCTAATATTTATAAGACTTAGTGAAATTTCTTGAGATTAAATTACACAACAGATGAGGACAAAACAGAGAATGACTGGAAGGAAGAGTAAAGGCCTAAGGAAGCTACATTTAGTTAATTTTTTTCTTGACCAAATCTGATAAAGGGGTCCTTCTGTTTCAACAAGTAGAGCCGAGTCTAAATTTTAGTGTAAGTAATTTCATAGACTGTCATAAAAATGGATCAGAGAATTCTTGCACTACAGCAATGCTCAGGAGAGTTCATGATTCATTCGGCCAAATCTTATTCTTCATGAATTTTCTAAATAACCAGTGAGTGCAATCAAAAAATCTGGGAAAGGAAAAAGGGTGAGAAAAAAACAACAAAGAAAGTGTTCAAACTCACTCGTGACTGAGCCAATCTGACTGCTAACTGGGCTCCTATGAATGGCAATGCAGAGGATATAAAGGAGAATGATCAGGATGTCTAAAGACACAAGCTGAATTTTCTGCATCAGTACAGATTTGCTGTGTGAAGTCCAGCAAGTCACCTGGGTCCCAATTCACAGAAGTATCTTGAAATCTATTTCAAGTGACACATAATTAAGTGTTATGTGTTAAAGATTTCAGTCCCTCTGAATCTAAATATGGTTGGATTCAATGACCTTAAAGATCTTTCCCAAACTAAATGATTTTATGCTTCTTGGTCTTTGCTCTTGAATGGGGATAATAGTTCTTTGCCATCTGACAAGAATGTGTCAGTGATAGCATATTGAGGATCATGAGACAGTCATGATCTATGCTAGTGAGGATTAGCTGAGTACGAAAAAGAAACTTTTTCATTATTGAACTGGCTCACTACATACATCTATAGGAAGGTTTAACAAATGGAAGAGGTAAAAAATAGGCCATGTTTTTAATTGTCTGAGTAAAAATGCATTGATTTCATATTCAACCTCACAATTTTAATACTATTAAGAATCCTTCCTCCCGCCTTCTGCCTACCTTCAGGGTATCTGTAGAGTGAACAATCAATTCTTTTTGCCATTATTCATGTGATTTTGTTCTGATATTGAAAGCTCTATTTTTTTTGTCAAACAAAATTTTCCCATAGATATGTGGGAGAAGAGATTTCATTGTTTTGCCTTGTTTGATTTAGTATACTCGTGGAGTAGGTTGTGTACAAATAGAGGCCATAAAAGGTCTTTCAGTGCAGAGATTTTACATGCTCTTTAACCATTTCCTGACCTTGAAATGCTGTTTGCTTTCAGAAGTCTAGTCAATCACTTCATTATACAAGCTTTGGACAACAAAATCTCTAATGGTGTTTGAATATAAGGGAGACTTTTGGTAAACAGTACTTGATCTTTCTTCTAGTTAAAATTGATGGAAATCTTTAAAAAATGTGTAAAGCATGTCAAAACTAAATGGCACTGCATTGATTTTTTACTCCCAGTAAGAAAAATCATGTCAATTTTGGAACTTATACTGCATTTTTATAAGAACATACTTTTAAAATATATAGAACTTTCTGTATGGTGTATTAGATTCTTGTATTTACTTGCCAGAAAGCAAATACATCAGTAATGTTTATTGTGGAACATTAGCTATAGCATTATTTAAATTATCTGAACTAAACAGTATGTTCTTAAGGAAATTTGATATTTTTGCATGGACTTTCCAGGACTTCTGACTTAATCAAAACAAAATTTGGTTTTGTGTATGTTTAACTGAGAGATTAATTTATAAGCAAATTCTGAAAAGAATATTTTCAAGTTTCATTGATTCTTATGAATTATGCATGCTGGAATGGATATGAGCATCTTCCGGGTTAAAATTTGTATTTATTATATAGCTTTTAAAAACAATTGTCAAATTATTATGTAGATTAAAATAGGTACAAATACAATAAAATATATACATAATTTTTTCTATACTTGGAAGTGATTTTTTCAAAATAATGACAAGGGTTTGAAGAAACGGGGAGAAATTCAGAACTGATGAACAAAACAAGACAAGAGCAGATGTCACTGGACAACTTCCTATTATTCATTGTTCTGCATTGCCAAGAAGCAACCACAGCCCACTGCATTTTTCTCCTCATTGGTAAGTCCTACTACCACTGCATGGTTTTTAGAAGATGATAATGTGTATAATTTTTCTCCAGCTCAGGTGATATCAGACTATCCTATGCAAACTGGTCCCTTGATATTAAGACACATAAGCCCTAACATGGACCAGTCTCATAAAACACACCATATTTCAGTGTCTTGCTCATTCCACTTACCCTTTTAAGTATTGGAGAGGCTCTGGAAACAAATAATACAAACAAGTGGATACATCGCTCACAATTAAAAGTGGAAAATGTACTTTTCATATACTGCTGCTTTCCATTGTCATCATTGATGTGCACAGCATGGGTTTATGCCAAGATGCTTCTTAAACCACTTCTAAATTTCCCTGTGATATTGATCAGGCACAACTCCTATTCTATTGAAGCATTCTTAATTTAGAACTGCCTACGTGACTGACAGCTAAAAAGTAAAAAGCAAGGCTTCTGAGTGGCCAGAGATGAACCAAAGAATATTGTTAGAACTTCAACATTTATAAGCCACACCTTGAAGGAAAATATATTTTATACTTCTTTTTATAAAGTCTATTTATTAACAAAAGTTACATTCTTCAAGATTTTTTATAAAATTTTTACCATACTGTATGTTGAATCCCTTGGGAAATCACAAAACCATTTCTTCATATCGTACTTTGTGCATGAACATTAGAACTGAGTATTATCTTTCTTTGTTTTCTTTCTTTCCCACTGTGTGGCACTGTACCTTCCACAGCATTCCATCTACAATAGAAATCAAAGTCATGTAAAATCAACACCTATAAAGGCTGTCGCATATAGGAATTTTCACACAAATGAGTGCTAGCTATTAGTTGATTTAATTAGCTGGATATTTTCCCTCTGTATTCAGTACAGAAATGTTTCTGCAAGAGATGATTCACCCTTGCATATGCATAATTTCCTATGATATGCACTGGATAGTACAGACAACAACGGTATGATCCTAAAATATACTTTTCAAAGGAACTGCATCCAGCTCTGGAGTCCTGCAGCCAGTATTTATCCTGCATCTGGAGTTCTGCATCCAACTCTGGGAACCCCAGCACAGGAAGGACATTGACCTGCTAGAGTGAGTCCAAAGGAGGCCACCAAGGTTATCAGAGGGATGGAAACCTCTCCTATGAAGAAAGGCTGAGAAATTTTTGACCAGCCTGGAGGCTTCTGGGTGACTTATTTGTGGCCTTCCAGTACCTGAAGGCAGTCTACAAAAAATTTCAAGAAAAGCTTTTCACAAGAGCATGTAGTAACAGGACGTGGGGAAGAGGCTTCAAACTGAAAGTGAGTAGGATTAGATTAGATTAGATTAGATTAGATTAGATTAGATTAGATCAGATTAGATCCTTTACTTTGAGGCTGGTGAGGCAGCGAAACAGGCTGCCCAGAGAAGTTCTGGATGCCCCATCCCTGGCAGTGTTCAAAGCCAGGTTGGATGGAGCTCTGAGTAACCTGGTCTAGTGGAAAATGTACCTGTCCATGGCAGAGGGGCGGGAACTAGATGATGTTGAAGGTCTCTTCCAAACTCAGGCCCTTCTATGAACTTTCTTTTATACTCTAAATTATTCTAGAACATCTAAATAGAAAAAGAAAATAATTACAAATCCAGATTAAAGTAAAGCACTTTGACTATAACCCTTGGCCACACAAAGTATTTTCAGTGTAGAAATTATATGTAAGTGGTAAAATAGACTATAGCTAAATATGATTGGAAAAAGCACAATGAATGTGCTTTCATAATGAATGCAAAAGGGACAAATTTTTAAAAACATATATATAAATTTTATAAACATATAAATTTTATAAAACATATAAATTTTATAAAACATATAACAAATAAATATAAAAACACAGAAGCTCAGATGTAGAAACTTCAACATGGACTAAATTTTGAGAATATTTATTTATTCCTTTGTTCCTTTTAATTGGCAAAAAAATTCTCCTCTCTGAGATCTTTAGCAGTCTCCCTTTTCCAGCTCAGTAGCAATTGATTTCTCTTCAACCCGTAGCTCAAACGTGGAGGACAAAGCAAAAACTATGCTGTGCTCAAATAATTATCAGCTAGCTCTTCCCAATAACCTACTTCAATACCAGTAAAACAAAGCTAACTAAACTATCAAACAACTTGGAGACTGGAATTCTTTTCATATAGAAAATTCCAGGAGATTCTCATTCTGAATCAGGATGAATCTTCAGAAATATTTGAATTGTTTTGTTGGATGAAAATCTTCCATATTTTAGCTCAGAGATGCTAAACAGCAACATGTCATTGTCATGTTTTGAAAGGTCAGTTAAAGATCTACTGCTTCTAAATTTTGAATATTAGATAACTTGGCAAAAGCTGTTATTTCCCCGTATAAATATTCCATTTCAACAACTCCATGGGTTTAGTTAAAATAGTCACCAGCTTAAGAATACATTAAATATCACCAAGAATATATAAAGTATGATTAATGATCTTCATTTTTTTTTTTTTGTCCAGATGCCAATGATTCCAGTAGCTGGGTAGGTGTGCTCCTATGACAGTCCAATAAAACTGCAGTCAAGTATACCAGCACATAATCTAGCTGCACCATTGACATAATGGGGTCACCATTAATCACTTGAGAAATCATGAACGCAATGAATGGATTTTTAAAGAACAGATTTTAAAAATACATTGCAAATGCATTTGTAATCTTGAGACTAGACATATATGCTTTGTGAATTATCTGGAATCATCAATTATCTTCAGCACTCATTAAAAATTATGTAACTCACCTCTGGAAGAAGTCATATTAAGGGACTCACAGCTGATCTATAGAAGCATATTAAACCATATTAGGCTGTTAAACTGTAGTGTTTGTAGTTAAAAGCTTATGATGCAGAATTAACTTCAAAAGTGGATAGCAGATCACAGGTCAAAACCACTCCTAGCAACTTCCAAAATAATTGACACTATCCAAATGTTTTAAAGGACTTTTCTAAATAAGTAAACAAATTACCTGCTGCCAAGCCACAGGAAATATTTTGAGTAATAAATAAGTATGTGTATTGAAAGTACTAATTTGCAAGCTCATTTTAGACCTCAAGCACTATTTCAGAGAGTGTCAGAGCAAAACCTATTGAAATTTTCTCACAGGAAGAGCTCTACTTTGACCTCATAACATCTCTGCTTGGTTCACATCAGCCTCGAGACCTAAGCAGATCAAGTGTTTTATGGTATCTAGCACTGTAAGAAATACCAGGTCTGCCATTAATTTTTTCAGCTGAAGGAAATTTTTCAGCTTTCAGTGACCAGAACCCTCAGCTCTTACATGAAATGCGAAGTTCTTCAAGAGCTTAATCTCATCAATAGTGACCCATATAAAAGCAAGGAATCTGCCAACTCACATCAGATAATAGCAGCAGATCTTGAAAAGTTAATCCTTTACTAAATGAGATTTTTTTTATAAGTTCTGATTGGTGCACACATTTCTGGCCAAAGCAGTATTTTTAGAGGTCATATTTTTTGGTTTTTTTCTTTACATCATGCTGCATAGCATTCAGAATGTTTCACATAGATTCCTGCTTAGTCAGACTCTCCTGTATTCAGAAATAAAATCATCAATTCTGTTGTTCCATTGATTGTGAACCTGTTAATAAATATTTATAGAATTTGATATATGCATATTGGTAAGAGTGTGGATGCATAGTACAATCCTTGATCTTTTATTGATATTCAGGATTCTTTAAGGATTACTTGCAAGCAGCAGCATTCTAATCAATTTACCAAATGCAATACAAGATGCATCATATCCATTGCACTAATAGGAAAGTTGTAAGCCAAAGGGAAGGATAAATGAAGCAACCCAAATCAAATACACAGCACAGGCAGGCACAAGGTGATTTGCCCAACTGGAGGCAGGAGATCCAGGAAACACTTTAGTTCCACCTGATCTGTCCTGAAATACTAAATCCTACTTCTCATATGTTCTTTTAATAAGCACAGCACCATATAATAACAAGCACATACCAAAAATTGATTCTAGATCTAATGTGATACAAGCTTTTGTATCACAGAATCTGGCCAGGACATGTTTTGCTGTAGGCTAGGGCAATCAACAGCTCATACTGGCCCTAGATTATGCATCTTTGATGAGACTGATAAAATGCACCTTCAACAGTAATTGAAGTAGGCAAGCTCATCATAAAGAGTCTGATTAGAGAAAGTGTAGCAGGGAATGCATCCAGAGGAGAAATCCTAGGCCACTAAAAGGTTTCATTACAAAGCAATAAAAAAATTAAGCTTCTCGAACTCATTTCGCTTGCTATAGCCATCCTAAAATCAAAACTCAAAAGCTTTCAGTGAATGATGATGTAACCATCATTATACTTCCACAACACTTAATTAAGGTTGAGATCAAGTGTAATTACAGTTGATATAAAATAAACTTAACTTCAAATTTTCAATCAATTTTTCTAGCACAAATATCTGACTCCAGAATGCATTATTCCTGACAGTTTAAATCTTTCAAAATATAAAACCATCGTATAAAACAGGGAAAATTCTATCATTATAAATCAACAGTTGATGAAGAAATTTGATTATACAGATGCACTTTGAAGGACTAAAAATAATTTATTTGTGTTGTACTCTGCCTGAATAGCAGCAAGCTTAGAAGAAACTGTTGGAGTCAGTAAGGCAGGAGTTTCTCTGAATCCTTCAGAGAGTGTTCAGAATGCAGGGATTGAATTAAAGCCATTGGATGGATTGAAGTATGTTAAGCCTCTTATGCATAAAGCAGAGGTAAAGGTATAGGTTGTAGAATAAGAGAGCGAGTAAGTATGTAATTGAAATAAGTTTTAAGTGTTTTTAGTGAGTAAAAGGTCTTAGATGCCTGAAAAGCAGTACATGTTCTAGTGAAGGTCGAAAAACATAATAGTGTTTCCTTAGAGGCTCCAAGAACCGAGCTTCAGGCATAATAGAGTTAGAGTTAAGAATATTGCTTACATATTTCAGATAGAACAAGATAGGCCATGAACGTAGTCTGTACGTAGCCTGGCGTGCTAAGAAACCAGAATTCTAATAGGTTAAGGAGTAGTGGTCCGAGTTTGTGTCTTAGCTAGTTGGAAAGTTTCTGTTAAAGAACATGCATCAGGGAGAGCTGGGGCTCTATGCCATGGCTTTATGCCATGTGCACTTTGCCATTGCATTTTGCCACCTGCATTTTGCCATTGCTTTTTGCCATTGCTTTGCTTTGTTTTTGCCTTTGAGACTGATGTGCTTCTGCAATAAATAACTTTATAACAACTATTAACTTGCTTGGCTTTTTAAAGAAGAAAATAACCCGAAAGTGTGGGTGCCCAAGAGGCACCCGGAGGTCTGCAAAACCTCACAGAAACATATGAACTGGATGAGTATGCTGTCATTGGAGGTTTTTTTGAAACCATAATTTTAAACAATTTTGAAATTATAGGATAGAAAAGTGGCCAGGCTGGTATTGATTCAGTACAGATTACCTTTCACATAACACTGTGAGAACTACTCAAGGTATTGCAGTTGCTATATGTAGAGACATAAATGACTGAATAAAGTTTCAAAGTGGAACAGTTACTAGAGACAGCAGTTATGTTGGCATTTATTGTGTCTTGCTGTTTTTCAAATTGAAGATACAAATTCTTAGATTAGATCTCTGCTTGTACCTAAAATACAGGTTCAAACAATAAAGTTAATAATTCATTGATAAACTTTGCATGCCATGATATACCAATAAGTCCTACTATTAATTGCACAGGGGATAACTACTTTCATCTGCTAACATCTCAGCATCTAATGCTTCCTCCCATGCCTGCAGATACCCAGGAAAGAGGGACTTCCTGGGTAATCCCTCAGTAAGGAATAAAGCTGTCCCTCCCATTACTGATTCCACATTCCTGAATAGGAAAGGCATGTGTTTTTTGCAGGGAAGAAATTGGAAATATGTCTCCATGCACTCCCATTTACTATATTGAGCCATGCTGAATTCCTCAAATTAAGTGGTAACACAGTTTAGGGTGAGAACTGACTATTAGACATTTTTAAATTAATTGCAAGAAACATCTTTGAAGTTATCAGCAGTTCCCCATAATTTATTTACATATCTCTTCTTTTTTCGTAATTATAAGCATCAATATTGCCATCTGCATTACAAACACTAGGATTTGAAAATTCAAATATTGAAAAAAATGCCCAAAGCCAACTATGCATACACATTATTATGAATATGTGACAAATACAATAAAAAATTCCAGAACCTTACGTACAATCCTTCATGACTATTATTTAGAGTGATTTCAACAAAAATAAGAGTTTTTTTTCCTGGAAACCTGCGCAAAGTGACATGATGGTCTAAGAAGCAGACTTCAAAAAAGCACAACTCGCTGTGTTGGGATTAAAGACACAACCATAACTTTCTTGGAAGTGAAGAACAAAAGCTGTTTTTAAGCAGTTCTGCTTCACTGAAGAAAATTCTTATTAATTTATTTCCTGTTTGAAAGATAATGGTACCTAAGTCCCATACGTACTTAAGAATTCTTGTGAGCTGTAAGGCACAAAATAAAAAGATAGTTGCTTTTTCTTATTTCCAGTGAAAACAAATTTTCACCCACAGTATCTAGATACTGTGATAGTAGATGATTCCATGGAATTTGGAACTGAGATACATGTTTTTCTTTCATCTCTTTACAAATTGTGAGGCACACACTAAATGACTAGGTAGTAGCAGGGGGGAGAAGGAAGAAGTTTCCTGGTTATAGCACCTGGGCTTCACTCTTTGTTGTGCAAATTTATATTTGTAGTGCTTAGCAAATGAATCAGTAGCACAATTCTCTGCTTCAGCCTAAAACAGATCTCTCAAAAAGGGTGACAATAAACAAAAGATGGAGGAAAAAAGGTGTCAAAATGATAATAAAAATGTATAGTTACTATGCAATTTTGCAGAAATAAAAGTATTATTCCCTTAAAAAGCAGGAACTATATATAAACACAGAGTCTTCCGTTTATAGGTACATAGGTAACAGCTTTTTAATCATACTTTCAATATTGTAGCCATAGTTTACCTATCTGTGCCTTCAAGTTGTAATATTCTGGACCAGAATATTTCTTTAATATTTCTTTGCCAAAATATTTTCTTTATTTCTTTAACACATACTAGGTATTTAAAAAAAATTATGCTAATAAATACAGCGGTTAAAATATTTTCTGCATAAAACTGCAAGTATTTTGTCATTGAAAACTTTCATGCAGTGATATGGAAAGACCTTCACTTGTGTTGAGATTTCATTTTAGCCAGGACTTTATCTAAATGTGTCTTTCTATCAACAAATTTGTATGTGTAAATCACCAAGACAAGACCACATTTTTCAGGAACACAAAATTCTCTGTCATTTTACAAGAAAGTTGAAGGCTACTTTCCACCTACTGTAACTGGCAGACATTTCATTTCCACAACTCCAAGGACTCCCACAGCTGATGTAAAAGTAATAACAGATCCAGTGCCAAGCATTTTACAGCAAAGTTATGTCGCTGGCTAGTTCCTGACAAGAAACTGTAACACAGTGCGTTTGTACTGCTACTTATTTTCCTTTTATTTTTAAGAGACTTCCACTTACACAACTTATTCTAGAAAACTATTATATCTTTGCAACACTATTACTGAAAGGATGGAAGAAACAGAATTATAAGAGGGTATTCTTATTCTTATTCTTATTCTTATTCTTATTCTTATTCTTATTCTTACCACCTATATTCACAGAATGAAAATAATGCATTTTCATAAATTTAAACAATGGTAATAACATATGAGATGCAAACAAAACATTCTCAATTGAACAATATGAACCACTCACAATTAAATCAGTGAACAATTACAGTTTAAGTTTACAGGTTTTTTCTGTTTGCCACTAATTATTAACACATGTATAGATCTTACAGGGAGATGGATATATATTTCTCAATAAATTAAAGATTCAGTGCTGTCCTCCCTCTTTGTGACTGGCCACTTTCTCCTTTTCATTCCAACCATTTGTGCATGGATATGGAAAGGAGCAGTGGTTTTAGTTGCTTCCAGCCCAAATGTTTTCTCCCAGAATTACTGCATGGATGGTTCCTATGCCATTAGTTTGGAACAGACACTTATGAACATAGCCAAGGCAGTCTGCTCTTTAAGAGCACATCTGTTGTTATGTGACCCAAAACTTACTTTTCTGAGGGGAAAAAAAAAAAAAAAAAAAAAAAAAAAAAAAAAAAAAGATAGACATTATGGGATAAAGGAATCTCCATATGGAGAGGCCCATACTCATTCCACCCAAATCCTCACGTAAAGGATCTATCATCTTGTCAAACGCAGGTCAAACACAGTCTGGTAAATGATATAAAGTGAAGATGAATAGTGATTTATTTTTCAGTGATTCATCTATAAGCTGTACAGCAAGAGAAAGAAATAAATCAATTGCATAAATTATTGCAATAACTAAATTGTAGATATAGTAATACGTTTTCTCCTGTTTTGCTAATCATACCACATAACGATGGAAAACATACTCAAGAGAAAAAAAAAAAACCTTATTACCACGCACTTCAATCCAATACTGCCACCTTGTGAAAATCCATTATTTCTTCTGTCGATTACCTAGAACCATACGACCATAAAATGCTTTGGCTTGGAAGAGACATTAGAGATCCTCTACTTCCAACATCCCTGCCACGGGCAGGATCACCTGCCACTAGACCAGGTCACTCAAAGCCACATTCAGCCTGGATCTGAACACTTCCAGGAATGGGGCATTTTTATTCTGCAATCATTTAAAACAGAAGAAAAATTCTGTTTATACTCAGAAAAAAAAACACTGAAGAAATTGTTTCTGTCAAACAAAAGCCACAAGTCAAATGTCAAAAGCATGAGACCCAGAGCCGGATGGGAAGGGGGGGAAAGAATTGCTTTTTAAATTAAGAACATTAAAAAAAAAAATAAAGCTTCTAACTAAGAGAAAGAAAACAGATTTCTTGCCTAGAAAATTCCACTGAAGATATTTAAATAGCACTTCTGTATTTGTTTTTTATCTCTTATTTTCATTCTTTTGTTTTCAGTTTTGGATCACAGCTGAAAGTATAACCACATACTCAGTTCATTATGAAACAAATATAACTACTCTTATAAATTACAATAGACCTTCATTTGTCAGGTAATATTTTATAAATTTTAACAGTCACCTGATATACTGAACAAAAATAATAGCAGCAGTAAAAGCATCAAGATGTGTATATTCACCATTGTCTTTATTACACTGTACACGTGGGTGGGGTTTTTTTGGGCTTTTTTTTTTGGTTGGTTGGTTGGGGGGTTTTTTGTATTTTTTTTTTTTTTTTTTTTTTTTTTTGTTTCCGTTTTGGTCTTTTTTATTTTAAGCTGCAGTTAATTGCCTCTTGCAATTTAGTGTGAACGCTAAATTCCAGTCCATGACTTCAAAAAAACCCCAAACACAAACCAAAACCAAAATAAAAATAGCCTCAAAAACAACAACAACAATTCTCAAACAAACAAAACCCCAATACCAAAAAAAAAAAACAAACCCAAACACCCCAAAAAAGGCGCTGCGAGGTGCTCCGTCTCACTGCCCAGAGACCCACGAACGCGAAACGACAGCTCCGGGTGAAGTTTGGCTCATCTCGCTGCCCGTCCGAGCCGCTGTTTCCCGTTGCCGTGGCGACGCTCCCGCGGTGGCAGCGCGGTGCAGGGCTCTGGTCCTCTCTCTGGAGCTCCGGACCGTCCGCTGTTGGTGGACGCGGAATTTCAGGGCAGAGGGGTGGCCTGTCTCTAGAGGCTGCCAGAAAGGCGGAGGCTCCGTGAGGAACTTGACTAAACTACATGTGAGTGGGCACATGGAGTATACGGGGCCACGGGAGGACTAGGGGCGCTCCGTGCAATGGACTACAACTCCCAGCCTGCAAAGGGGCGGTGCCTCGGGCCTGTCAGGAGTCAGCGTTGGGCGGTGCTGCCTCTGGGCGCGGTGCCTTTCGGGAGGTGTAGTTTTCTCTCAGCCTGGATCTGCTTCTTGCCTTCCCGGCAGAAATGCGCTCCTTGTGGCCCGTGGCCCGCTGCAGGAGCCGGCGAGGAGCTGCTCGCTGCCTCCTATTCCCCTAATTGCACGCCGCAACGGGTTGAGAAAGGAGGGACTCGGGATGGGGCGGGGGGGAGCTTTGGTACCCGGTATCCCCCTGCCTGCATGCATCCACAAGTTTTTTACTTCTCTGTGTTACATATTTTCTCGCTGTTTTCTCTCTATCATTAAAACTTCATCGAGTGTTTTCTATATTCTTAGTCTGTAATTGTAATTGTTAATATTTATTTATTGTTCAAAGGTTTGCTTTGGGCTTTTTTCCCCTTTGTAGCTACTAGGGCTGGAAAAAAAATCCTTGTGAGGAAGTAGAGGGCAGGTGGAAGTTTTAAATACTGAAATTTAATATTTGCAAAATTATGAGGATTCTCTTATCGTAAGGTAATGTTTTTCTTATTCTTAACTTGTTGGCATAGGATGAGGTTTTCATGTTTTAAGCCAACTGTTCGATAAATACATCTGAATGAACTCAGGCTAAATGAAGATTCTCTTTATTTTGGGTCATGCTGTGTTGAAAGGTATAATTTTTTTGTGTAGCTTTCAAAACAGACACTGTGGGAAGCAGAATGTCGGAAGATATTGAAGAAATTGAAAAAGAAGTAGAAATGGAATTAGACAGAATCAGTGTTTCTTCGTTTGGAACAGATGATCCTGATACCTCGGAGGTATCAGACGAGCCCTTCAGTGACAGTGAGACAGTAAGTATGCAGTGAGCTAAAACTGCTTCTGCAGCGTGTAGTACGAAAGTAGTGTGGGCATTGCAAAGCCCGTTTGATGAGTGAACATTTTCCTGACACACCTAACCAGGATTTCTTCTGAAAAGTAGTCTTGGTAATACTTCATTAAAAATGTGACCTCCAGTGGTGACAAGACAATAAGAGAGGTGAATATCAATCAGCATTCTGCTTGAGATCAGACCTGGAGATTTTGTTTTAGAATCCTCTGAAGCTGGAAGATGAGGTTTGATGAGGCAGGTTAAATCTGGATTAATAAACCGATGATTCTTCACTGAAATCTGTATTTTAATCTTACAAGAGACTGGTTTAGAAGATTTCTTATAAGATTTCCAGATACTAATTTCATATAAATAGGTTCTTCAAGTCCTCTTTCTTGGATGACTTCTTACTTTGGGAAGTGCCTTTCCTCTGAAATAAAATCAGTTATTTGGGTCCTTTTCTGCCATTTTAATCTTTCAGATTCAGAGCAAAGGGACTGGTTTGTAGGATATTAGGCTAGATGATATTGATCATAAATCATGTTTCACATGACATAGACAAAGGCACATACTGAATATCAGCAATTTCTACCACAATTAGCACATCTGAGAGAAGGCAGACCATTTTCCCAAACCTTTGACATTAAAGACAGTCTTTTAAATAGAAAGTTTCTATGTAATGAAGAAAACTGAAACATTGGTTCTATATGCATATTTTAAATCTTAGTAAATTTAAAATTGATTTATTTTGTAAGGAGTCTAAACATTTCAAAGAAAAAGATGCTGTGCCTCACAGGTATTTGCTAATTTTTATCTTATTCTTTTTCTTTAATTTCTTGGTCTAACACAGTTGTAAACACAATAATTTATTGAAATGTGTTTCTGGAGATGTATTACTAAAGATATATTACTAAAATTTGATTAGAATGCAATTAAAATTAAAATTATTAATTGCTCAGTGGATGATAAGTCAACAAGAAGAGTGTAGGAATTTGGAAAAATTTTGGTAGAAATTGCTGCTAAATCTCCATCAATGCTTTATAGGTGAAGCCAAAATAAGTCTTTATTCTATTATGTCAAGTATTTACCGCTTTTCAAGCCCGTGAGACGAAAATGTAGAATATATGTCAAAGACTGTGGTTTTTTAGATTTCAGATGACTTACCAGAATCAGTTCTCTCCTATTTAAACTTTATCAAGAGTAGCAATCAAGATGCTGAAAAGCTTATACTGCAGGACTTGGAAGGTGAGCAAAGTACAAGTAAGCATTAATCACAGTTAAAATGTTTGTACACCTCATGTTGCCAGTGGAAGTTAGACTAACACGCATCAGTAAAATAATGGAAACTTTTAAGTAGAAGCAGTGAAACCTATTCCATCAGCTTCTGAGTGCATTATGAAAATCTCTAGGAATAAAGCCATGCAATACTATCTTCTTGAAGCAACATCTGAGCAGAAATTAAACTTTTCTAAAAACTCATCTAATGCTAAAGAAGGCAAGTTGTGAGATTACTCTCTGAGACAGAGCCCAGGCCAGACTCTTCATGAAAATCTAAAATGAAGTCAGTAGAAACTGGAATACAAAGTTCAAATACAATTAACTCCCATAGAATACATTTAAAGTCTGTCTTGAGAGATGCCCAAGCTCACATTGGAAATGACTGTTAATTACCAAAAAAAAAATAAATTGCTGTCAGCTCTGTGACTGAAGCCAAGCTCATAATTGATATGCCAGAGAGCTGGTACTGTCTGTTGCATTTGTGCAATAGGCTTGGTGACCAGAAGTTCAATATTGACTACACATTTTGATATCTGAGGAACATCCCTATTTATTCTTTTTTTGTAATGCAATCACTCTTTTTTATTGTTTTTATAGTTCTTTGTCAATTTTTGACCTATCTGATAATAGTGCTACTTTATTTTTCTGCACAGAAAATGTTCTGCTGTGTTTCATGATCCAGAATTCTCTTTCATATTTGCTATCACTGTATTCTTATGAGATCATTGTGTCTGTTTCTGTTACACACATTTTCTGCTTTAATGTAGATAAATCATTCCCATACATTTTTAAGTACAACTGGGGGAAAAGGAAAGGAAAAAGACCCTTTTGTTTTAGTTAAAAAAATGGAATAGATAAACGTTGTAGACCAAACCTGAGCACTGGTAAGGGGCTTTCTCTCTGTGAACTAAATTTTTGATTTATTTTTTTTTATTATTTTTTATTTATTTTTCTTTAGGTGACATTTATGGATTTGTTTCTTGCCATCCTTTTGAATCATATGAAGATTCAAAACAATTTAATGAAAAGGTATTTTTTATTTATACAGTATTTATAGTGAACAAAATTCAATTAAATAATCTAGACAATTTACATTTGCTTTGGTGGCATCCTAAGGAGACATATAAATGTGTTCATTCTTTTTTTCTCTCAGACTGTCCATAAGGTATTAAGATGAGTTTCTATATACAATTCTTTAGAATTAGGACATCAACTGTAATAGACCATATCTATAAGCTTTCAAATTTGAAATAAATTATGAGATATTGAGCACAAAAAATCAACAAAATTAAACAAAACTGAATATTCCTTTATTTCTAATTATTTGCAGAATATTATCTTAATATTATGATAGCACTTAAGCTTCTCTAATCTTATTTTTTTATGATTATCAGGAAGATGTACTACTATTTATCTTGCTCCTAATATATTTCATTATTTTGCAGAAAATATAAAGATAGTAATCTCTGTGACTTTTAAAGACAAATCAAGAGTTATGAACAAGACTGCTTCTATATTTTCATAGGATTTGACTAATAACTCGCTGAAGTTTTCTTAGAAAAATATAAAACTGTATTTAATTTAATCACTTTTAATTTTCTGCCTGGCTTTTATTAGCGAGCACTCTTGCAAACATGATTTTTTTGTTCTCAGAAGACCATTGTTTAAAACAGCACAATTACTTCATGTGACTTCAGCTGCATTACAAATATTAATATAGGCCCAAAGCATGTGATGAACAGATGATAAATGAGCAGGAATAGATTACTTGCCAGTAAAGAACAATGAAATAATTATAGCAATCCTTGTGCCCATAATATGATTTTGAAATAGTCTTAAAAATTTGCTCTGTAACTAGTTCTTCCCCAGTGTGCATAACAGTATTTATACATATAGTGCTTGGTTTCACAGAAAGTAAAATAAACCTCAAATGCAAGACATTCATTTTTCCAAGTCAAAATATTAAATATATTTTTAAAATACATCGAAATATTACGTATTTTGATAAATACAATATTTGTTGCTCTAGGAAACAATATTTTGACTGATATGTTTGCATTATTCAATGTGTAAGGATTCTAGTCAGTAGTAAGTTTTGCATTTTTGTACTCGTCATATGATAAAAAGCTTATCCTTGTTCTGGAAGATTTTTACAATGTTCTGCTTTTAAATTTTGTTTCTTGTTTCTTTAATAAAAATTTTAAACTATGTTAGATACTGCTTGAAGTTGAAAATGAAGAGTTGAAGATTGCTAGAACACCTGATTGTAGACAGTCCATCAGTGATGAAGTGGGCACTGATGACGACTTTCTTACAGGTAAGCAAGCACATTATTCATTTGGTTGAGTTGATTTTTAACATATCACTATTTCCTGCTTTTCTGTTCTCAAAAGTAGCATAGCATTCTTTTTAAAGATTTTCACATTGCAGTATACAACTGGGCTTGATACTTGATGAATTGGACATAAATATACACATCTGCTTTTATCTCATTTCAACATCACAAAATAGAATAATAGATTGATAATAGAAATTATTATCAAAAAATGCCACTTGGAAATGAAAGCAGTTCAGAGGCACTAAGTAGGTTCTACTTTGGCCACAGCTTTTTTTTTTTCTTATTTGTTTGGGGTTTTTGTGGTGTGTGGGTTTTTTGGTTTTTTTTGTTTGTTTGTTTGTTTTTTTGGTTGTTGGTTTTTTGTTTGGTTGGGTAATTTTGTTTGGTTGGTTTAATTTGGGTTTTTCTTTTTTTAGTCACATTGGCTGGGAATATTCCTTTACCAAGGCTTTTGGATGAGTTGGGCTGGAACATATCAGTGCTAAAGGCCCACTAACAGCCACAGTAGACATCCTCTGTAATCCTGCATTGTACATTTTTAGAATAAGCACAGTAGTTGCAGAGTCAGGAAGTGTTCAGAATAATAATAAAACATCTCTGATGGAAAGGACTTTAGTTCTGATTTCCTATGTGTATTCTATAATATATACTATAATATATATAGAAATCAGATATATATTGCTGGCTATATCATCATAGGATCTTTTTCTTGTGAAATACCTTAAGACTGTTTAATGTTCCCCAGTGCTTATTAGGAAATTAAATTAAATAGTTTCTTAGTTGATTAATAGCTGATCTTGAAATGAGCATAAGTCTTGCCCATTGTGAAGTAGAGGAGTGTAGACCAGCAATTGCACTTGAAGATGAGAAGATGAAAAAGTGGAAAGCTGAGAGAGAATCACGAGAAAAAAAGAATGAAGAGGAACACGCAAGAAGATTGCAGCATCTGGAGCAATTTGAGGCTGAAAGAATAAAGTTAGATCTTCTTCATAAGGTAATGAATGATATAAAGCCAATCTATTCCAATCAAGACTATGTGAATTCAAGCTCTAATGTGAAAAAGAGACTACTATCTCAAATTGTATGACTGTCCTAAACCCTGTCTACTTGTGTTGCCAATGAGCTGTAAAACATATTTAAGTATAGTCCATTGATTTTTATGTTTACTCTTTAATCAATAGCGAGTGAATTTGCTATGCAAAATTTTAAATTATTCCTTAATTTGCCTTTACAAAGCTTTTCTATTGTGAAAACTGCCAAAGTACTGGAAATGAGAGTCGTGCTGAAAGTAATCACAAATGAAAAATGGTCACTGTGCCCTAATAGAAAATACTTAGCTAGTTTGGACCTCCCACCCCAATTTCACATTTCAATGTTAAAATCTTAATGGAAGTAATCAGAACCAAAATTATTCATTTCAGCAATGCTGGTGCTGTTCTTCATCTAGGTAGAAGTTACAATATTTGCTTTTCCAATCTTTGGGATATCTGGGAAACTTACTCATGCTTTATCTACTGACTTCTGCCACAACAGATGATAACTCAACACGTTGACTAGTTGCACTCTCAGACTATCTCGTTGTGTTTTGCTACAGTGGCTGGAGCATCATAAAGGAAAAGGGAGCATAAGAACATGAAGAAATGTAACTCTCAGATATTATACTTCTGAGGTCACAGAATTTTATTAGTTAGCCTAAATAAGTGTGTTTTGAAAGGTGTGTTAACACTACATTTTCAATAACTAATTTGTGGCTTTCTGAAGATGTGGGCACCTTGGCACCAGCGAGGTAATTCAAGTCACCAACAGTAAGGAAGGGCTTAGTAAATGAAAAGACCTTTGATCTCTGAAGGCCAGTTCAGTGTCCACTATAGCTGTCACAAAAATTTCTTTAGCTTTACTGAACAAAATTCCCATTTGAACGATTTTAATATTATCAGTACATACCAGTGCAATTAAAGGGAGATTGTTCATGCTATTGTTCAGATATGTTTCTGTTTTCTGCCTGTACTTTGAATGGTTTCATAACTAGTTTTCATCCTCAATAGTAGTATAGATCTTGGAGAGGAAGGTGGCAGCTGTTTGGGTCAGTACCAAGGTGCTGACTTTCTGAAGGTATGCATCTCTCAGTACATAACCAAAGCTACATTACTGGTGCAAGTGTCCTGTTGTTTATTTTGATCTACACACGGCTTGGTTTCTCATTTAAATTCAGGAATTCACAAAATTGGATTGTTGGAAAGTCAAGAAGATGGGTGAGATTGAAGAGAGGGTGTCTTATGTTGTTCTGGGTTTTGTAAAATATTCGTTTAAGTTAATTTGTGTTGCAGAAACGCCAAGCTGCAATAGAAGATGAGTTACAGAAGGAAGAGGAAGCTTGGAGAGACAAAATGAGGCAGCATGAGGTAAGGCTGTACAATGAGCTTTTGTCAAAAGACTGTGAAGTTACTGTTATATGTTTGAGAATAAATGTTATAATGGAACAGTTAATATAGTAGATTCTGTTTATTAATGATAAATATGTGCCAATACCTGTCCCATTTTAAAAGTGGTTGAAGTCTATCCTAATTGTTTTGGCCTAGGCATTGATCTTGAAGCTACAGTTGCAAATGGAAGAGGAGAAAAAGGCCTTGGAAGAACAGAAAGCAAAAGAAAGACAACAACTGGCTGAACAACAGAATATAGCAGCTGTGAAAATCCAAGCTAGATTTAGAGCATTTTTAGTCCGTAAAAAATATGCTCCCATTTTAAAACAATGGAAATATGAAATAAGAAAGAAGCAGAAAATACTAGAGGAAATAGAGAGAGAAATGAAAGAAAGAGAGGAAAAACTGAACAGGCGAATGGAAGAAAACAGGTTAAAGAGAAAAGAGGAAAGAAAGAGACAAGAAGAAATTGAAAGACAAGAATATTTGAAACAGTTGAGGAGGTGTGAGGAATATGAGAAAAAGAAAGAAAGCCTGAGATTGGAAAGAGAAAAGCAACTGCAAATAAGAAGAGAAGAAGAAAAAAAATTAGAACAAAAAAGAGCAGAAGCTGTGATGAGTGAAAATGTAGAAAATAACACAGGAAACATAAAAAAGGATTATAAGACAGAAAATATGAAAGTAATTAGAGAAGAGAAGGAGGAACTAAATAAACAAGTAAAGGAACCAAAAGAAAAACATGCTGAAATGATGGATGAAACAAATAATAGGATGATGCCAGCAGAAAGAAATTTGACACCAAGTGTGCTAGGCTCTGAGAAGGAACACTCTTCTCAAATGAATAGTGAGAACTTATATATTAATTCAGTAACACAAGTAGAAGAAAATTACTCACAAACAAGTTATCTTGGTAAAGCTTCAAATGGTCATATATCAAAGGATGAATCTCTTAATTTCAGTGCTAATTACATGGTAGAAAATAAGGCAAAATGCATATGCTGCAGCCCACCAAATGTCCAGCCAAATGCTAATAATAGAGAAATTAAAGATCGATTTTCTCAGTATGAAACCATGAAGAAAACTTTATTTCTGATGGAAAGTGCTACTGAAGAAGTCAGAGACACCTGGGACAGCAGTAATGATGTGGCAGATTCTTCTAGTAAAGTAATTTTTCCTGATGATATTGAAAAGAAGAGAATAAACTGGATGAAAACATGCAAATCTTGGTCTAAAATATATGAAGAAAACCAAAGAAAACAAGCAATTGTAAGGAAACGACTAAGGAAAAGTTCAGTTAGCAAGATGCCTCCACTAAGTACAGAAAAGATAATTCATAGTGGCCCTTGGAGGACCTTGCAACAGGTAGCTACATGAAAGTTTGAGAATTAAATGGGAAGACAGACTATCACTTCCTTTGTTTTTTTTCTATTTTGGTATGTTGCCAGAATGCTGTTTATTGTTGAGCAGGAAGTAGATACTGTGAGATTTCCTATGCCCAGGTGCAGAATAAGGGCAATGACAAGGACTCTTGAATTCCTGTGAGTGTTGTAGAGCAGACTGGTGTGGTATTAGTCTTCAGACGATTGATAATATCTACCATTTAAAAGCAAGAGCTCTTACTTTCTGCTAAATTAACGAGATTTCGCCTTTTTGTAAAGGCCCACATTTCAGCTCCTGCTCAACTAGCCCCTTCAAAGTTTTGAGAAAAACAGTCTTTTCTAGAAACAAGACATTACTGATAGTGTTTTGCCATAAAGGACTTCTCCTGGTTGCCAGGACTTATTTTTCTTACCCTATACACACTTCTAGTCTGAACTTTCTTACCCTATACACACTTCTAGTCTGAACTATTTTTGTCTTTTCTGCACTCATTATTTATGATACTGTGACAATTGTTTTCATGCTAGCTTCTCCCATTGAACAGATCAAACCTATCATTGCCATTCTTTTCTAAAGGAAAAGATTACCATTGGTTGCTTGCATTTTATAAACCATTACTAAATTGTAGTTTTGTTCTCTTTTTCATCTTAAAGAAAGTTGCCATATATGATGTTGTGCAATAAATGCTCAATATACAAAGCATTAGTTTTATTTATCATTGAACGCATGTAGGTCACAACCCTTACACTCGAAGATTTGCCAGCTTGTAGCCTCTCAACCTTATCTGAGTGTTCAAATCTTCAAGTTTTGACTCTGAGGCGCTGTGGACTGGTTGCACTGGAAGGACTAAGTAACTGCAAAGACCTGAAGTACATCAATGTGGAGGTACCAAGCATATTTGATTCTTTGTTATATGAGGAGGACTGCCAGTTTTGCTCCTTAGTTGATTGTGTAGTTGTATCCAACCGAATATATAACTTTTAGCCTTAAGAGCATAGGAAAAGCAACTAAATACTCTCAAATGTGAACAAAGTTATAACAGCAGATTTACAGTGCAAATAACAACACCAGCATGCTGCAAATGATTCAACCTATAGTAAGAAAATATCAGTCTAAGATCAGCAATTAGTATAGATCTTTGTGACCTCAGTCTCTGATTGATGAGTGGGCAGATGCTCTTCACCATAGCAGGTGCTCAGCTTGAGCAAGTATAGGTAGAAGAAAGAGTCCTTTGCAACATACACCTTGAATATTAATTAAAATTAGTAACATATATGCTCAAGGAATAGTACTTATTGTGAGTTATACTAGAGGCCTAATGTTTAGGTATTTGCTACTGCACAGTGTCTTACATGGCCCTGTTTAATGACTAAAGAAAACTTTTTCTCTGTATTGCATCTTTATTCCAGAACTTGGCAATTTGCATGAAACGCTTTGTTCACATTTTTAATTTAATGTGTTTTAACAACATTTTCCAGATGAAAAGACCAAGCACAGCAAATAGTGAAAGAGAAATCTGAGGAAGCATTATTAAAATGACCTGGGGAAAGGAATGTATAAAAAGAGGGATCCATTGGAGGAAAAGTATTAGCTTAGAATAGTGTTAATGTTTCTGACTAAAGTATCTCTAAATGCAGACTTTTGTTATTAGTAAATAGGATTCCAGCAAAATTACAGCTGTCTTCATTAGCATGTAGTAAATACAATGTTTCTATGCAGTTTTTAGTTCAGTCTCCCAGGGTTTGGGGAGGTGGGAAAACATATATGGAAGAGCCTGCTCTGTTCTTAATTTCTTTTTATGATTGTTTTGTTACAACTTTGGGAATTTTCGGAGCCAGAATGAAGTTCTAGATATATTCTTGTTCTATTTCAGCAGGACACAAAAGGTCATTTCTAAGACTCGTGATTTCTTTTTTCCAAATGGAAAAATAGAGATGCCCTTACTCCTAGCTAAGAGTTTAGGATAAAAATAAGCAATGAAGGAAATATGCTATATTTTTATTTCATTCTGCTACTTCACTTCAGATGCTATTTCATAGTCTCATTTTCTTTTATTGCAGGAGAACGGTATTCAGGTTATTGACTGTGCAAATCTAGAAAATCTCTGTATTCTCATTCTGAATAAGAACAGTCTTTCATCAGTTTGTGGCTTAGATGGATGCAAAAATCTCCAAAATCTTGAACTTTCCTACAATAGAATCACTCGAATTGGTAAGAAAATTATTCCAATCTGTATAAGAATAGTTATGCAGTTCATCTTCAGAATTACACACCCCTTGGATTTAGAACCAGTCAGCTCCTAAGCCCAAGGAGACAGACTTGGGAAAAAACCTGCATCTTAAAGCATGGCTTAGCTGCTGCTGTGTATTCCATCTATCAGGTCATGTAACTATTGTCAGCCAAAGAGAATTAAAATCATTCTGAAAGGGCCACTAATGTTATCTGCAGTATGTTAGCTGGAATATATGAGTAGCTTGAGATAAGCTTATCTACAGACATAATGAAAGCAAAGCCTAGCTGTGCAACTGCAGGGAATTCCAGGGTGTTCCTGACTGACACATTAAATAGTTATATAGAAATCGTGTTGTCTGTCTTGAATCTGCTGGACAATAGGAAAATAATTTTAAACAATTAAGCTCATAGACGAAACACATTCACATAAGACTTGTAAATAAGAAGTGGTTCCACTGTTAAATAAGACTGTTAAGTAACCCTATGAACATGGAAAATACAGTTCCGTGATACACAGCAAGGGTGTGGCAAACAGAAAATGGGAAAGCTTAAAAAAATCTGTAGATGTAGGGACTTCGATGAAGATTTTATCAATATTATTGCTAATATGTCTAAAAGTTAGTACTCATGCAGAAAATTTTTAATATGTGATAATAAAAGTGCTGAGAAATGAATGTTTACTGTAAAAGCATATTGGGACTCTAACAGTAAAATAAAATTATAAAAAGGTTCATCTGTGTTTTGGCAAATAGCGCTTGATAAGATTTTTTTCAGATTGATCTCATTTGATAAAAATGTCTGCAAGATTACTGTAAGAATGACATTGTTTTAGTGGATGACATTTAAGAATGTGGCATCAGTGTGGAGTGTGGTAACTTCATACAGCCCAAGTGATGTAAAATCCTCCGGTAGTTTCTCTTTTCTGCAGTGCACTGCTACAGTTACTGAGTCTCCAATAAATTTAAGTGGATAAGTAAATCTTCACAAAATCATCTTCAAATGTGGGTTTTTTCTTCTCCAGAATTGCTTTGAGGATTTTAGGTTGAAACAGCTGCATAATACAGGATTTATTTCATATCATAACATACTGAGTAGGTGCACAGAATGCATAAATATGGATTTGTGGGTTATAAGAAGTTAGGATATCCCTCCCATCTGTAAATCTTGCTTATTTACGTTTATAATATTTAGGTTTTAGTGACTTATTGTGGGAAATTTCTGGCGTACTATGATTTCTCTTTTTATTCTTTTCTCCTGTCATTGATATACAGCATCAATAGGGGAAAAATTGAGTTGACAAAACCCCCTTAAAAATAGCAGTAAGAGAAGTAGTCTCAATTATGCTTTTTCCCTTAAGAATTGAGCACAAATTAAGTAATTGTGACACACCGAAGTTGAGTGCATATGTTTGTATTTTCAGGGTGAATGCTTGCTTAAAAATTTTCATGCACAAAAAGTAGTAGCATTCTGACTCAAATCTTCGAATACACTTCTGTAGGGTATCTATATTGCCACAGAATGCTGGGTAGAATCCTGGAAGCTCGAAGAATAGCAATGCATAACCATGGATGGTCATAAATGCTGCTTTCAATATACTCTTTTTAAAACAGCACAGAGAGGATTTTTATTTTCATCAGATACCTTTTTAGGGTTTTTGTTTGTTTGTTTGAGGGTTTTATTTTGTTTTTTTTTTTTTTTTAATTTTTATGTTCACTCTCAGCTTTCACTGTTTTAAGTTGTCTTTGTCACACACAAGTGACTTCAGAACTGCATCACTAGCTAAGAGAGTGCCTTGCTAGCAGACTTCAGCTACACTTTGCAAATTGCTGAGAACTTACATAAAGGTTCTCCTTGAATCTTGCTGAAACAATGTATTTGTCAATAAAATGCTTTTCCTATGGCTGCGATAACGTTTGTTTGTTGCATCGTATGTAAAACACACAATATCTTCTGGAAACGTGCAGAAGACTTTCACGCTTATTTTTAATTTTGCATGTAGGCAGAAGAAAACCAGTAAAATGCCATCTGTTTGTGTTACGTTATTCACTCTGGCGTGTTTTCTGTTGAACTGCATTTGATAATTCCAGAATGTTCTGAATGACAGTCAGGTTGAGGAAGAGTGAAAAAACAGCATGCAGAGAAGAAAATTTCCAGATCCTGTTTTACCTCCTTGTCTTTTCTGATTGTGTGTGCAGTCTCTCTTCTCGGCCCCACTGCAGGCTCATAGAGTGCTTTTAAAGTTTCCAGTACTGCTAAGCTGGTAACTGAGAAGTGAGGATTTAAGAGCCGCTCTTGCGAGTAAGTCTTGGGAGCCAACACACGAAAACATGAAAGTGTTTCTGAAACCACTAGATGGTGCTGGTTCCTTTTTTATTTTTATCGAAGCCCGAAAGAAAATTACAGTCCAAGATCTTGCAGTCAGGGTAGTAATGTCATGGGCATGTTTGAAATTTTCAGAATAATTGAATATTTGTATATTTATTTGCTAAAGCACAGTTTTGAAGTTACATGATAGGACATGTCTGTTACATTTTAGATGATATCACTTTAATGTCAGACAATTGCATTCTTTTCACTAAGTGCTTTCCATTTTTAAATTAAAATTATTGGAATGCCTATAGTGGGAATTTTTAAAACTTTACTGCTCTTTTGATATTTAATTTTTTGCTTCAGTTTTCTCCTTATAATTTGTTTTCATTTCTAAGTCCTCTTCTGTGTTCTCAATACTCTGCGGTGCAAACTGATCTCTGGGTTCATAATCTAGTTTGTTTTCAGAGGACAGTCACAAAGAGATTCACTATTTTAAAGCTCATCCAGCTTCTTTTAAGGAACTTGTGAAATTTTGGGTGGGATAAAGATGAGACAAAGTGCTCCCTCAAATAATCTTAACTAAATTATCTAAGAATATATGAAACAGAAGTAAAATCAGAAATTCCTTATTTTAGATAAGTTTTGTAAAGGGTATCCCTTCAAATGAATTTTTTACTACAGAGATACAGAAAAGCTGCTCGGACTTGTAGTCTTGTAGCTAGTTAGATGGATCAGTGCCATTGCATGTGTAAGACTATGGGAAGACTGTAATTTTTGCTGTTGTAAGGATTATTTGGGTTACATTCTGTGAAAGAAACAGATGCTGATGGGAATTCCTTTGCATTTCTTTTGTGTAGAGATTGCATGCTCTTTAATGTAGATGGCAGGAGTGAATTTGTTGAGAGTAGAATGGCTATAGTACTATAGCTTTGTTCTTAAAGGCACTAAATTTTCTTTATAAATTTCTTAATTAAAAATATTTTGTCATAATTTCTTAAACAAGACTAATTTAAATAATAACAGTGGTACCGGCCTAAGTTTTAATGCTTTTTTTTTTAACCTTGCTGACACATTAACAAAAAAACTTCAAAAAATAAAATAATAAAAATTAACTTTTAAGCATTCTGTTTTCATTCTGATTGATGATTTTAACAGGGCTGTTAGCATTTCACAAAGTTCAGAGCAGTTGTAAAGTTGTTAAAGCATAGAAAATACAGCTTATCACTAAAAGAATATTCTCTTCCAACAGAAGTACCAAAGAGATTATGAACTGTTATTATTGCTTGATTAACAGGATCAGAAATTTGTGAACCATATGCATTGTATATGCAATAAGATCAAAATACAGTCATTATTTTTAAACCTTATGCAGTATTAATATTAATTGTTACATCGGAGAATGTACAGAAAATCCAGAGTTTTCTCAGTACTTGAATGACAAGAGATTTTTATTTCATCATGTCTTAAATCTTGAATTTTCAGGTGGTCTGGAGTCACTGAAAAATCTTCAACAATTAATTATGGACCATAATCAGTTAATCAGCACAAAAGGTCTTTGTGAGGTACCTACTCTCATTCACCTAGACTGCTCTTTCAATCATCTCGCACAAGTCGAAGGCATTGAGAATTGTGGCCTACTTCAAGTTCTGAAGTTGCAGGGCAATAATCTCCAGGAGGTAAAAGCTTTGAATTTAGTGGCTGTTGTGCATATATTTTTGCTAACAGTCATATTTTTCAGCCTTCTGAGCATGTGCTCTTTCATTGTTGGATGTTTCATGCTCTTAGGTAACTTTTTTTTTTTCCCTTATCAGAGGGTGATTTTTCAAAGATACAAATGGCTAGCAGTTAATTGTTTTCTTACTCCCAAGTCCTCGAAAAATTGGACTTTCAGTGATTATGGTTCCTCCTTCGTTTATAGCATCTAGTTTTTGGCTTGTATTATATGATTCTGATTTTGTGTAACAAAAGAGTATTATTACTTATAGGTCCTGTTATAATATTAAGATAATTATAACAGGGTGGTAATAATAATATAATTGTTGTTACATATAAGTAATTGCTTCTTACCATTACTTGTATCTAATGATAACATCGTTATTATCACCCTGATGATAATCATGTTTATTTAATGTATGTTGATTCTCCAAAACTTGAATTTTGTGCTTCAGCATTTAAAATAGGAAAGTAGTTTGCTAACTGTGTGCTGAATCGTATTTACTAGCAGTTATTCTCCTATGAATTCAAGTGATGAAAAGCATTGTCAATAAGCAGCAAATAACTGTATGAATAAAATAGTAAGGGTGTGACTCTTGGGCCTTGAGGTTTTTTTTCCTTTAACCTTATATGTTGACTATTCAGGTGTGATAGAAGACATTATTAAGTATTTACCACCTGATATATAGAGATTATGTGTGACAAGTGATACACACACAATACGGAAATGATACATATATCCAAAATGTTAGCTTTGCTTTTACTTAGTAATGATTTATGAAAAGCATCTGGTAAGCATTCCATTGTTGTTTCTCTAATTTATATTAATCTTAAATAACCATCTCCTTTCTATTTAGCTTCCAAGACTGGAAAATCATGTTCTCTTAAGAGAGCTATATTTGGATGACAATAGCATTTCTTCTATGAGAATGCTTTCTTTGTATTGGTTGCCTCTATTGCAGATTCTTTTGCTGTCTCAAAACAGGTAACTAAGAAACATTCTTCTACTTATAGAACTGATCCAGAGGAATTTATTAACATAACTCTTGTCAGAAAAGTATAATTCTCAGTATCGAAATTCTTAGGTTGAAATTTTACTATTTTTTTGGGATATTCTTTAAAAATAAAAGTATGTGGTTGGCATGCAATTACATTGGCTACCTCTAAGAAAATTTGAAACAGCATTAACTATGTAAATTAATTTTTTTTCTTTTAGCTATTATGTGAAAATAATTCTTGAGCATTGGGGCATTATTAAAACCATGGTGGGTTTCATTCTTTCTTTAGCAATTGTTTCGAGAGTATGTCTGTCAAACTTCATATTTCACAGCTAGCTTATTCAAAACAGACTTTGAAGGCTAAGTTAAGGGCAAGTACTAGAGTTAGAAAGGACAAATAAGAATGTTTTTTATTTTACATACATATGTTAATATCCTCCAAAACAAGTATATTTGCTTTAGTTTTTCACTCTTATGGTTCTGTTTAAAAGGTATAAAATAACGAAGGATTGAGACAAGCAGCATAAAACTGGATCATGCACTCAAATTCTCTGTAATTAGTTTTCTGTTTGTTTTCTAAGATAATCTATATGTCTTTAGAGGTAGAATGACCAGATATCCTGGATTAAAAGTCTTTTTTTCCCCACCCCCCCCCTTTTTCTCAATTTAAATTCTACTAAAAAAGATATGAAGTATTTATTGGAATTTTCAATATGTTAATAGGAAAAATAATTTTAAATTAATATCCATTATGTTTCTATACTGTGATAATTTTGTTCTGAATAGGGCTGATATCAGCTTAACAAACAGAATACTAAATACCATATATAGAAATACACTCTCAACTAATTACTTCACTCTCCTGTTAGTGAATAGATGTTTCTAAAGGGTGATTCATCTGCCATTTTTAGCTGCCTGCTTTGAGACTAATCGTAGCCTAAAAGTGCCTGTTCATCTTCATCGACTAGTAAAATAAATCAAAATGACCACCTCATGTGTAGGTGTCTACATCTGAAAAGAAGAATCCCATCCTATGTGACATTTATTTCAGCAGGGCCAATTGTGTCTGGGAGCCTGTGGGAAAAAGGATGTGTAAGACTGAGTCCTGTTATTATAAGCAATGTCCTTCATGGAAATTGAATATTATTTAAGTGTATGCAACCTATTTTTTAATACAACTTTTCAAATTGTTTTCATAACATCTCTAGTGAAATACTATTCATGGAGACTCTTGGATGTAAATAAAATATCTACAGAACCTAATCTTCAAGTTCCTGCTCTGGCTTCTAGGGTTTGGGATTTTTTGTTCCCTTATTAATTCTTCTGGAGTTTGGAAAAAGTGCTTCTGCCTGTGATTAAGCAAGAGCATTATATGTTAAGCATTAGATTTTGAGTCACACTGCTTGATTTAATTCTTATTCTTAATTAGCTTTTTTTTTTCCTTGTCCAGTTTAGCTTTTTTGTGGAACACACAATAACGTGGCTCTATATTCTTGTAGTTTCCTCTTTGTTCTCCAGTATAGCTATCCTGTGTGTAATCAAGTGTTTGCAAAACTCCTTGAAGATCTCATGTGCCTTCCAGGGGAGCGCATCTCAGGGATAGCTTGAATGCAGCCTCTGGATTTAGGCTGTGCTGGACTGGCCATGTAGATGTACCTTAAGTCATTTGCCTATCCCATCATCTTACATTAGTTTTTAATGTCCATTGTAGTGCCTGCTCTGGTTTTCCAGTAGCCAAGCAGAGATGTAGTGTTTGGTCTGCTGAATTCCTTTTGCTGGGCTATGAGAAAGGACATGTTTTTGCATCAACAGACTGGATGGGCTGGAAATAAGTATACATCTTGCCCCCAGACAATTCCCCTTCTGTCCGTGATGTATCTATAGCTTTTGTCAAATCTTTGTGACAAACAGGACAAGATAGCCTTAAATTTGTATTAAAAGCCTCAAAATTCCTGGCATTTCAGTAGCCTGCTCTGTTAAACTCACTTTATGTACATTTATAAGCAGCTCCATATGTGTGTGCTGTAGCATAAGTAACTTGATGTTCCATAGAAACAGTGAATGTAATGGAGTAAGCTGTTGAAAGAAAAGCTGTTTCTGTACTTTTATCCTACAGCCAGTGAAATTTTATGAATTTTTTCCAAGTGTGCAGTGAGTGCCATTTCCTCTTTACTGATTGCAGGAAGCCAATATAATGATAATGCTATGAATCTGTATTTTTTCTGAAAGTGAAGTACTGTGAAAAGAAAATTCTTGCACTAATTTACAGGACATTTTTATTCCTGAAATGCTTTGTCTGCATCATAAACCTGAAATTGTCAAAGGTAAAACTCCAAAAATTGTTTTAAATTGTTGTAAACCTTCAGTCTATCAAGGAACTAAAACAGGTAGTGATTAACTACTTCAAATAGAAAAAAGACAGTTATTTCACCACTGCTGCTTTTATGAAGTGTTTTATTGTGGCTTTTATATACAAAGAATATTCTTGATCAATGCACAATTGAACAAGGACAATGATGAATATTCTCGTGACTTGGTTTCTGCAGATTTAGGACTATGAATATCTGTACTCTATTTTATAGCAGCTGAGGACACAACTGTTAAGTTAGTTTAAAAAAAGGGACATTCTCTTTTTTCTTCTGTTGTGGCTAGATTTAGGTGCAGGGGAAAACAACTTTGTCCTTGTGTAAGATTTATAAATTTTTAATACGTGTAAAGAGTTCATGTGGCATTTATATTTCCACCTAGTCCCATTTAATTTATGTAGCTTACTAATTAATGTCTTCTTCATTTAAAGGTTTTTACAGTGAGACACTAAATGTGCTGTTCAGGTAGCCCCTTTTTTTTCAACTTCAAATAGGTAAAATCCCTCCTAACATTTCTCTTTTAATATTATATTAATTAGACGAAGTTCTTTTTTTTTGCTATCTCTTACTTTTCACTAAGATAGCCTAAGTGAGATAGATAACAATTTAATATTTTTCTTTTTAAAAAGCAGTCATCTCAAAAGTTCCTTTTTATTTTGGGAAAATGGTTTATTCTGAATCAAATTTGTTGTGTACATGTTGCTCCCATGTTTTTGCATCTAGATGCATTTTATTCCTAAAAGGCTTTTATTAAAAATGCTAAAAAGTTGGTTAAGTTCTTTATTAGTATGCATTGTTCTCTAAAATATATATGGTATCTGTATTTTTAACTGAATTTCTCAGATGTGACAGTTGAGCTCCTTGCAAGCCCATGATGTTTTGAGAATTTGACCACTTTTCTAGAATTATCATGACAAATCTAAATGTCATTGGATGATGAAATAAGTCATTAATGAAAAAAGCTATATTGATGTATAGTACTTTTCATCATCCTATCCTTAATACTCTAGATTTTTAAAAATAATTTTCAGTAATTCTTTGCTGGTGATAAGTTTATCTCTAAGTATGTGGCATCATGGGTAATGTACTTGAAGTACTGCCTACTGGAATATTCAAAAAATGAAGTGCCTACCTTACAGGTTTCCTATATTCTATGTATTTGCTGCTCATAAATGTGGTGATTATTGTAAACTAAACTGTCTTTAATTTAAGGAATGAAAAAGAAATCTGGTCTTTACCTAAAGATCTAGATTATGATAAATTTATTTTAGTATTTTGCCCTGCTTCCTGCTAACCGCTTATTAGCATCAACGCTAATTTTTCTGGGGAAAAGCAGTTGCACAGCAGGATTTAGACCATCTTGAGCAGTAACTGCTATTCATGTTCAGAAACACAATCTTTATTTTCTGTGATGCATACATGCAACTATTCTTAAATCTTGTTTTCTGATGCAGTCACATAGGCTATATAAACTCTATCTCTGACCTGTTCTGGTAGCGCCTTAAATGAGAGCAGAAAAAGGAAGCTACAGCTTGCTTTTTTGTGAATATCTTTTACTTTTGTGTCTTTGTAATTTATATCTCTCTTATGCCCAGGGCTAATGTGACAAGGTCAAGTAGTATTAAGTTTTCGGTAATGTCCTTTGTCTTTCTGGTTTGAATTTTCTTAGGAAAAAAATTAACAAAGAATGTCGGTAAAGGGAAAGCTATAGAATGACGGAGAAATGTTTTAACTCTCATAATGCCAACGGCAGGCGAGGACAGTCCAGGACACAGTTTCTAATTCACCACAACATATTCTGATAAAAATCCAGAGAAATCATTATAAATAAAAACTCTGCATTATTTTTGTCCCTTATGCAAAATATGATGTTTGTTTTCTGAATAATGAGTCTATAGTCATGAAATTTCAGTTTTTGCAACCATACTTTTAGGCAGTAATATCTATGATGATATTTGCTACAAATATTAAATATATTTATGTACTGTTGGCTGATGATGAGAAACTAAAATGCTGAAATTTGTAGTACTGTATACAGATCTACATACAAGGCTTAATGCTGTATAGAGTCAATACTTGTTCGTAGTTTTTTGTTTCCATGGAAAACTTCCATGGCACAAAGGAAATAGAGCTAAGTAGGGCTAGACCCAGGACAACTTTAAAATGTAGTTTGAGAAAGAAATGGAAGTATAGTGGCACGTACTCAGTTTTCTTTATATCTGTTTCTCTGAATTTACTCTTAAAGTGTTACGTTGTCATATAGAAATACTTCTCAACTGATGAATGTGGACATTTGTTTTTCTTGTTTTGAATTTGGTTGTATTTTCAGTAAGATTAAATAATTTACAACCAACATTTAGTCCATAATTAGTGCACCAGAGTAAAATTCAGCTCTGCCTTTCAGTTGTAAAGCCTGTGCTGGAATCACAATGTTTCATACAAATTCAAATTCATACATTTCAGCAACAAAGACGCATTTTTGTCTCTCAACAATTTTGAGTACATTTCATTTTTTTGTAGGGTCATATTTCAGACAAAAAAATTGTGATTTATACCTTTCAAAGGCACTACACCTTCAGAAAATACTGCTTTCTGTGAAAATTAGCAGTCACAAACAGACCACATAAGAGTGGCATTTCTGTTACCATTCTCTTGTGCTAGGGTCTTGCCCTTACAGAGATGAAACATGTTATCTAAACATGTATTTCTTTAAAAAAGCTATAGTTGGTGTACCATGTGCTTAAACATTCTAGGTTTAGTTGATAATTGAGATTCTTTGCATCTTGATTTTTACCTTTTCCTGACTCTTTCATATTTAACTTAAACCAAGATAAATTTTAATCTGAAACTTAATATTTGGCAATAGCCTGGCAGCTGAACAAACCATTCAGCATTCATTCTTGTATTAATGAAAGTTTGTAAGCAAAGAAATAACACTGAGCCTTAATCTTTTAGAAGTGACAATAACACACATCTTACAGTCCCAGTCCTTTGTATAGATGAATAGTTTGTATAGTTTTTTACATGTACTCAATACTGTAAACAAGAATTTTGTCCTATCTTTAGTACTGCTTTCCTGCATTATTGCTCAAGAAAAGCTGTGATAATGCAAGAGGAGCTATTCCATAACCAGTTCCATAGCTGTCTCAGTAATCAGCACTTATTTGACACAATCTGACAGAAGAAGTAACACAGAGGAAGCACTAAAAATATATTACAGGATAGTGCAGCCTTGGAAGCTCTAGGAAGTAATGTGCTGATTGGAGAAGAGAAACAACCTGATAAGAAATCTGAGCAATGAGGAAAGAAGCCAAGCAAATTTTTTTTTTCTCCAGAATCAGGACCTTCTGTTAGTACCATTCTAGTTATGGTGCCTAAAGAAAAGCCAGCTGAGTTGTGTAAATTTTATAAAACTTCAGCTCTTCAGCACTAAATGGAGGGAACAGAATGAAATAATTATCAGATAAAAAACCATTAATGATAAAATATTAAAAACTGAGATGCTGAGAAAACCAAGAAATATTTTCAAGTTAAAATTTCAGTAATTAGTCCTAGCATCTTGGATAGATAAATGGGCATTTTCTTATATAAATAGGTAAATTGTCGTACCTGCAAAAGATTCTGGTGCCTTTCTGTTGATGAACTGCTGTTTAAATTTAAATTTAAAAAAAATATTTGCTTTTTTTTTCTTAGGTTAACTGACCTTGTGCCTTTATATTCATTTGTGTTTTTGGAAAAGCTAGATATCAAAAATAACTGCTTGTCAGGTGAGTTGTGCTAAAAATAAATAAATAAATAAAATTAATTAAATTATAAACTGATTTGAATGGGACTGTTCCCATGCATTTATAAGAGATATTAATATGGAAAATATCCAAATATTTTCCAAACATGAATGTTATAGATATTAATTAAAACTATACTGTATAGATAGCAGTCTTGCATTTAGGACTTCATGATGTTGGTACACTTTAATTTCATGTAAGAATTTATGGGAAATTAGATGGTTCTGCAGTCGGACATATTTAGCTTTCTTTTTGCCATATTACAGATCTTAAAGATGTCCATACATGGTTTAGTGGCTGCCATAAACTAAAGGAATTGTCATTGAGTGGGAATCCCCTTCTTCAAGAAAAGAACTGGAGGTAAAAAAAATACTTTAATTTGCTAAATCAAAAATCAAAATCAGACAACAGATTGTTGTATGTATTTTTGTTAAATAGTAGAAACACTCTCACATAGTCTGAACAGTCTTGCTGCTCTGACAGGTTCACATTGCACATAGCTAGTGAAGGGGTAGTGTGTGTTAGAAGAAAGCCAGGATGAATGTTTGATTTTTCCTTAGTAGTTGAAAATTAGTGGTTTTTATGCTTCTTCAAATTCCTTATCTCTATATCAAAAATTAATTTCTCTCATAATTATGAAAGAGATGTAAGAGTAATGCTGTAATTTGCTCTTCAGTGGTGTATAATACTGGAATAATGATCCAAAAAATCAAAGACCTAGGCCTAGAGATTATGATATGTCTCTATATAAAAAAGGAGTAGTGTAGAAAAGAAACTTGACATACGAAATGATATGCAACTACCAGGATTCCTGAAATGAGTACTTATATAGATTTGTAAACCATAGGAGTAAAATTGCAAGTGAATAGATTTTTTGTATAATTTTTTGCATATTAGATATAGTACTTGATGTATGGCCTCACTAGTGCCAAGTACGGGGTATGATCACTGCCCTCATCCTGCTGCCCACACTAAAACCTAAAAAACCAAAACCAGCCTTACATTTATATCTTCCACTTAAAGATTTTTGTACAAATTTAGGATTACTAATCAAACGAGAAAACTCAACTATTTAAAACTTTTAGTTAAAATATTTGAGTAGTTTAAGAGATAGCTGTGCAAGTGCATTCTTGGTTTGTTGGTTGTTTGTTTGGTTTGTTTGATTTTTTTAATGCACAGACTTATTTATACCCCATGGTTCCTGCAGAGAATTTCATTCATAAAATTCTGTGACTGCGACTGTTAAATTTCCATTTCCAGTGTTTGAATTCCCACTATTTTACAAAACTAAGTGTTATTTCACTTGTAACCTGGAGGGAAAAGCTTTCTGAATTTTAATTTAGCTATGAGAACTGACACTTTAGATTGCTTAAACCAATAGAGCTTTCATAATTAGACAAGAGATTAATTTGTCTAAAGGATTTAAAGTAGGGGATACTATGAAATATGGATTTGCTGAATACAGCATTGACTGTAACTTCAGACAATATGTTCCTGTGAACTTTACATAACCCCTTGATACCAACAAAGGAATTACTTGTAAAATTTCCCACTTGGTTTTGTACTTTCATGTCCAGCCAGCGATAACACCAACAAAAGTGAAGTAGTAAGAAATCTCTTTCTAAAAATTAAACCCTGGGATCAGTCTGAGCACTCCTAGGGGAATATGTTTCAATGCTGTAATGATTAATAGAGCCTCTTAAGTGACAGAATATTCACCAGGAAGTTTTCACTAAATGAAATATTGACTCAGCCCTTCACTAGGAGAAACCAGCTGGAAAAATGAGTGTTGAGATCCCACAGCTCTAAGAGACAAAACTTCCATCATTGATCGATTTTGATACGTCACTGTTTTGGTGTATCACTATTCAACATCAGCTTTGGTAATTTCTGTCTATGTGTTCAGGAACTGTTGATCTAAACCCATGATTTTATTCCAAATGTACTTCAGACAGTCTTTGCCTTCAGTAATGGACAGTAGAAAATGAAAAAGGAAAGTTTCCTATTTGCAAAAGCTGATGTTCTATTCCATTGGAATACTATAACACAGTCATAGAGACTTCCTGTCATTTTGAACTTAGTGTAAGTTATCTGAGCTGAGTGATAATCCTTTAATTTTACAGGGAATAGTTGGGGAGTGCCAAAATTTTGAAAACAATACTATGTTTTTCAGTAATAGGGAGATTTACAGCTACAATTAGTATTCTTTTAAGAGTTTGTGTTACTTAAAACTGAGTTAATGAAAATATTTGAGAGTTGATATAATTTTGCAGTCTTCAAGCTTTCAACAAATTTGGTCTGGTACAAGAAATATGTGAAATGAGGTAGCAGTACCAGCTTGCATCTCTCAATAACATAAATTAGATTGCATTGATGAGACATTCAAATTTTTTTTGTTGTTTTGGGTTTGTTTTTTATTTTTTTTTTTTGTTAGGTAAGCTTCTTGTACTTTTTCTTGCATCAGTAGCCACAGCTGTCCTTTTATATAGCAAGGAAATTTCATCTTTGCTGTCATTCCTTTTATTGACCCAAATTCAGTATTTCAAAAGTAGATTCTTTTTCCTGTCAGGCATACTGAATAGCATGTCAGTATATGTGCAAATGATAAAGGGAGTAAAATTGGCAAGGTTTAGTATTTTGTGCAGTTTTAAAATCTAATTTTTTTCATGCATCAACAAATCACTACTGTATCTTAATCCTATGACTTAGTTTGCTGTTGCCTACTAATCAAATTAATTACAGGTGCCTATGCACAAGTGTGTCCAATTTTCCCGTTAAGGTTTGTGTAGGTAAAGTTCTCGCTCTAGTGATTTGAGACTATTGCCATTGACCTTCTCAGTGTCAGTATTTCAACTGTGCTCTTTATAGCAATGAAGTATTAAGAAGTCTTGCTATGTTCTGTGGTTTATTCTTTATATTATTCTTTAGTTAGTTTAGTTTATACTTAGAAGTATAAATTCTTAGTTAATATGTTAACATATGAAATAAGGACAAATGCATGCACATATTTAGAGAACTATCTTCGTGTTCTGTATTGTTACATGATTGTATCAATAAAATGGGTGTTTTAGCATAAGGATTTTTTCAAAAAACTAATTATGATTTTTTTTTTTCCCTAAGGTCTTCCGTATTGGAGGTCCTTCCTAATTTACAGTTGCTTGATGGTGAAATCTTAACCCTTCATACTTTACCCACAACTGAAAAAATCAAAGCATCAGAATTAGGAACTTTTCTTGAACTTTGTCAAGTTCAAATTGAAGAATATATTCAACTGAAAAAAAAGGCTGCTGAATTGGAGTACGTATTTATGTGAATATAAATTGAATTCAGAAATATTTTAATGTATTGTTATTGAATTTCTTGTTGACATATGAATCAAAAGTTAGTGTTTTGCCTGGAATTGTATTAGGATAAGAAAAAGATTAAAATCGTTGACTTCAGAGCAAAGTCTGTTTTAGACAGATATTAAGTTATGAGGACTGTGAGTTTTGTTTCTTTAAGTCTGAGAAAACAGGTGGTTTAAAACCTGCAGTTAGTAGTAGTTGAATGAATTCATACACACAGCATAGTACAGTGCTATGCAGGAATTGTAGCTTAAGTCCTGAAACTTGTATAATCACATTAACATGATTTCCAACTTTTACTCAATCAAATCTAATTTGGCTGTTGGTTCAATATGCTCTATTTTTATTTCTGCATTTGTTTTCCATGTGTATGTTATTCACACTCTAAATAATTACAAAAGATTTTACCTCTTTTCTCTTAAGGTACTGAATTAGATGGTTCTGTTTACAGGTCTTTAATTTTGTCATACTTGCCACCTTTATCACTGTTACCATGGTTAGTTGTCCAGTAACTTCAGCTTAGACCATGCAAGTGGTAATTTATCACTTACATATGCTATGATTTAATTGTTTTGTAATATCTAAATATCTCAAAATTCTCATTTCTGCATGTTTTTTTCTTTCATAGTTCCTTTTCATTTCCTAGCAGGTTCACAAAATCCTTACAGTCCTCTGAATATCCAATTTATGTTTTAATTTTTGGAAAAGTAGTTTTCTTGGTTCTGCCGGGTACTGAACAATATCCCAGAGCAGGTGAAGAACGTGCAGTTTTACATTGCTTTACTTTGGACTTTGCCTTGCATACTTTGTTGGTTCAGGAAAAATAAGCACATTTTTTTCAGAATCTGGCTATTTGGTGTTTGCATGTAAGCCTGTGCATCCATGATATCTTGTTACTAGCTAACAGTTTATTACATTGTTGCATCAGTTGAGCTTCTAAGCTGCAATAAAATCTTCATAGCACAAAATCAGATTAACTTGAAAAGAGGTTTGTATTAACAATTAGATTGAAATTAGTTGGGAGAAATTGTAGAGTGCATTTTTCTATGACAGATGTAATGTGTAAGTGGCTCCTAAAAGTCATATGTTTCTCCATTAAACCATCAAGATATGTCTTCTCCACTTCTGTGATTTTTGGCTTCTGGTTTGCAGATGGGAAGCTGATATTTACTAATCTATTTACCATCCTGAAACAGTGTTCTCTCCTTCCTTTTTCATAAAATAAAATAGAGCTCTTCTTTTCTATGATTGAGAAAGTCTTTCCATCAGTCTACCAGTCTGATATTTAGACATTTTATCATTATCCTTTAGCAGAAAAAAAGCCAGTTTATAATTAGAATATGACTTGTGAGCAAACTATAGTAGAATCTAAGGACCTAAGTTTCATACACATTTCTGCAGGATGATAAAAAATGAGAGGAAAAGATGATATGCCTAAAATTTAATTTTTTATTTTATTCTACATGAATGGACATAAGAAAGATAAATAAGAAACGTGTTGGGTCGTCAGGCTCAGACCATCCATTAATCATGAATAGTATGTGGCTCACGCTACTTTCTGGAAGCTGACTTGTACTTCTGATGTCTCTTAGTAAAGACTGGGAGCAGGAAATGAAGTGCACACTTACTGTGCTTGCAGACCACAAATATTCAAAGGCAATTGTTGAGGGGAGGGCTACCAGTCAGACAGGTAGTCAACAGGTCACCAGGAACCTTGTAAATTCAACAAGGACAAGTGCAAAGTTCTTTACCCAGGAAGGAGGTAAAGAAAGGAGGCCTTCTGCCCACTCCCAGGCTACTTGCTGAGTGGAAAAGGCCTTGATTCTGTCCAAGCACTGTCCAGCAAAACATTAGTGTTTTATCAATACAGTTTCGATCACAAACCTAAACCACAGCATTATACAGGCAACTGTAAAGGGAATTAATTCATTCCAGGCAGAGACAGTACAACTGGACATAAGGAAAAACCTTCTCAGGATGGCATAGTGATGAATTGCAATAGGCTGCCCAGCGTGGTTGTGCAGTCTTGTTCTTGGAGATTTCCAAGACCTGACTGGATGAAAACCTGAGCAGCCTGAGCTAATTTGAGAGCTAACTCAGCTTTGAAGCAGAAGGTTGAAACAGAGATCTCCTGAGGTCCTTTCAGTTGAGAATTTTTCTATGATTCTATGTAAATTTTGAAAGAGAAATATTTGAAAGAGTCTGCAGATATTTGAGATGAACAGAAGTGGAAAGAGGTGATTATGTAAACATCTCTTCTTTTCTGAACTTATGGTCTGGGTGGAGGGAGGGCAGAAGAGGGAGAGTTGTGGAATTTTTGAGCTTTTGAGAATTCATTCGTGATCTTTTAAATCGGTAACTGTGACATGATTGAAGCATATTGTATCAAATTTGGTCTTAAAATTAATTTATTGTGTGTTAAAGCCATCTATCCTTTATTGTGACTGAAGTAAAATTTATGGATGTCTCGGAAACCATTGCAAACTGCAGTTCATAAAAAGAGCTCTAAACAACTTGTTTGTATATAAGCCTTAGCGACAGAGCTATTATATGTACATATTGCAATGCTTTGACTGAATTAATGTGACATTGCTAAACAACAGGCCAACAATGGAGCAAAATTCTATCTGTTTCACATCTTGCTAAGTTATGAGCCCCTGTAGGTGTGACCTCAAGTATGTAAGCTGCCAAATGTAATCACTGCTTGCTTCTCTAATCTGTTTCATACACCACTGCTGCCCAGTTTAATTCTCTGTGCTGTTTCTTCCCAGAACTTCTCTGTTGTTGCCATGCTTAAGAATAAAACTGATTTTAAAATTTAATTTCTCTATTATACTAAATGTTTTCTGTCACATAAGTTTTAGATGACTTGTAATAAGTAATCACGTTAAAAAAAATATATAATGCCTGTGCTGCAGCAATTTGTTTTCAGTCATCAGATATGCAGTTGTCTGGCTAGTGGAACACGATCTTTATAAATATTCTATGCATATTAGAGTGAAAATGACAGGAACTTCATAAATGGTGTTGCAAGGAGAAAATATGTCAACAGTGACCTGTTTCATGTTTGTAAGGGACTTTGGTAATCTGCAGCTGAACATCAGTAATGATGCTTATACAATTTTCCCTGAAGACATTAGATTTTACCCCACACTATTGCAAACAAAAGCTCACGTAAATTGAGATGTACTATTTGAATATTCCACGTATTATAATTATGAACGTCACAGTAAAGAAAAACATGATATTAAGCAAGGTTTTAACTAGCACACATTAGCATATGAAGGGGTGGAATATTAATTATGATTTAACTGCAAGGGCCAGGAGAAAACTGTTATTCCTGATCAGAACTGGCTTGTTTTTTCCAAGCCTCTCCCTTTTGCCTCTGAGAGATTTGTTCTGCTGACTTTTCCAGATTTACTGACTCATTCTGAGAAAATTATGCTGTTTGAATGACCAGGCAGGTGTGATTGCAGTAAAAAAATTCTATACAAAATGTGTTAGCTTTATAAGCAAGCCTCTGTCACCACTTTAAATTTCTTAAGTAGCAACATTTTTGCTGATTTAAATTCCACTGGAAGGCATTTAAGCATGAATAATTTGTCCTTTTCTGTACCTGTTAAGTCTGCCTGTGTGTGGATCCTTATGCTTCCTAGGTGCTGCCAGTGGGTTTTATTCCTCCCCATGTCTACTCCTCTGTTGCCAAACACTTCATGGGAATTGAGCAGGTTTTGGACCAGGACAGTGATAGATACTCTTTATGAATTGATGTGAGGACTGAAATTGTAACAGTCGTTAAAAAATTCTGTAGTAGTCTTTAATAAATGCCTGACTTAAATTTCCAAATAGATTAAAATCTGATTGTGATGCTTTTTTTTCCTCAAAGTCCCTGGAAAATGCTAGCACAAATAGAGCGGTATCTGGTTAAAAAAACAAACAAAACAACAACAAACAAAACAAACAAACAAACAAACAAACAAAACCTACAGGTAGATTTTTGCTCTTAGCATTTTTTGGTGAAAATAATACCTTGGTCTTTAGTGTCAGGGCTGCTAGCTTAGCACATTTGTACAGTACAGCAAGACTCATCCCGTGCTCTTCTGGCTTATTATCCCTTTCTCCCTCTGCAAAAGCAGTGGTTATGCTTTGTGGTTATGCTAAAATTTGCATATAGCATAAATGACTTTCACTTGTTATGATCAAAATAAAGCCGTGGGCAGCCTGGCAGTGACTGAACAGGAAGGAATGTGCTGGTCAAAGCAGAAAGCCATAAAAACTTTGCAGTTGCAAGGCTACCATTTTTATGTTTCATCGCATACTAAGCAGCCAGACACTGTGGATTCTGGTGCTTCCATAGGATAATTCCATTTCTTGTTTTATCTCGATGCCAATTTATGCTTAAAACCGAGGTCAGATCTTAACGAAGAAGCAATTCCAGGTTAAGCGTGACCAATAACACTGGAAAAGGTCCGAAAGGCAAACAGTGAGTTTACATTAATTGAAAGCAAATATTGTGGTATCAAAAGTCATATTTCTTACTTTGTCTTTTTCCTTGTATGATTTTTTTATCATTAAAGAAGTAAACCAGTCCTGTGTATTTTCCATTACAGCAGCTTCCTTTGTGTGGTTTGAATAAGTAATCTTCAGGAACTCATTTCTGGTATCAAGAGTGCAGTGCTATTGAGACATTGAGAAAGTTGCAGTGTGTTGGTAGGATGCCTGATATCCCTATTCATTGAAGGGAACCACCAAACTGACTGTGCCACCAAGTTTGTATTCATGGCCTTTGGTGTTTGTGAGCTGGAGCTTTACCTTCGTAGGAGAACCTCAAATGCCACTTCATTGCCATAAGTCTCTGAGATCACTTCAGCTTCCTTTCTAGTTTCTTTAAACTAATATGACTGCCTAAACCAGAAAGCTACTGCTACAGAGGGCAGCCTAAAAATCCTGCAAAATAAAAGTGTACTTGTGGATTGCCAGAGAAGGTATGGGAGAGGAAAGGGTGCATGCCCACAGTGACAAGATGGTATTTTCCAGCCATTGCTTGGAAAAACAACCCAAAAAGCAGCCTCTACAAAAAAACTGACACACAAAATTATTCCCTATCTGAATTTTCACTTCCTCAATCTCCTCTTTAATTTCTGATTAATATATTCATAGCCACTTGAAGAATAAAAACACTGCTTGAGATACACCTCCACCTGTCAAAGGAGAGGATTCCCTGTTATGGTGGTTTGTTTTTCTTTCTTTCTGTTTTTTTGTTTTGTTTTTTTTTTTGACAATGAACAAGGATATTCAGAGTGTGGTTTTCATAGGAAATTTTTTTGCTCAATATATAAAACATTCTGGGGTTTTATGCAATATTTTAATTTTCATAAACAAATAAACCAACAAAATAAAGCAAAGAAAAGATAAAAAACAGGTGGGAATGTATTTTTTCAATTTTTTTTTTTTGTGTTCTTACCATATTATTTTATGTAGAAATTTGGTAATGATCTTATATTTTTAAATACTTCAACTAATTCAATATATTTAACTAAATAATTTAATTCATGCTTTAAGTCTTTTCTGTTAAAGAAATTATTATTCTTACTATGTAATATGTTAGATCCTTAAACAAATATACAGATTGGTTTAAATGTTTTCAGGACTTGTCATATATGTGGAATTAACAGGAGTAGGAGTAATGTTTTGTTGCAGACAATCAAATGTACAGCTATTGCACAGTGAATTATGTGCTTATGCTCATAAGATCAATTTACCCCTTCAGATTTTGGCCAAGAGCACTGAAGTTGCACTATTTTTTCTCTTGGATTGCCGATCTAGAATTGACCTTGTACTCCTCTGAAATTAGCACCCGGTTACAGATCTCTGCATCTATCTACTATTAAAGGAAAATGTTTTCATTATTCCAGAAGTACCTGCTACCTAATACAATGAACAAAGTACAGAGTACAGACAGCCATCTGAATCTATAACAATTGGTTCATATTTACTTACTTATCATTTAGACAGTGTTGCACAAAGAATGAATGAGAGTCAGACTTCCTAGATTACTATTGCTTCAGTCTAGCAGTTTCTGTTATATTGAAAAAAAATCTGGACTTAAAAGTTTATGTTTTCCTGAATTTTCTTTAGATGTTGTAGTTTGTTGGTTTGAATCTAAGTTTGGATTCTGTTGCTTTAGTTCTTATCTAAATTTTAAAATTACTGTTATTTTTATATGAGCTTTCGTAGTTGCCAGGTAAGATTGGATTATTAAGGCAGAATTGCCTCAAATCCTCTAAAAATTTGGGCTTACATGCCACTAACCACACAGAAAGTTAATAGTGAAATGCACGCTATAGTGGCTATTAAAAACTGAAAACTTTCTCTTTTAGAAAAACTCAGAGTAAAATAAGAAATATGTGTGATTATATTTTAAATATGTCCCAAAGAAGACAAAATCTAATAAGATTTATAATTACTGAAACTAGATTTCCAATAGGAGTAATTGCTAGTTGCTGTAAGAATATGGAAACATGTAGGAATACTTGAAAATAAAAGCTATTTTATAAAATAATAGAGGGAAATTTTTTTAAAACATTTTAACAGACATGTAAAATTTATTTTTCTTTTTTTTTTTAGAATTGCCTCTTCTATTGATTCTGCACTGGGACAATGCTGGTATTTTAATCAGTTGATGAAACTTAGTATTAAACATCGATATGTACATGAGTACGGTGAACTAAACATTACTGACAGAGATGGACCAGAAGCTCTTCAAAATCGTTTAAAGCAAACATCCACTGGCTGCTTACAGGAGAATAACTTCTTTATCATGGATGTGACAGAAAATAAACAGGTCTTGTTGGATCCTTCCAAAAGATGGATTACTACTGGTGATACTCAGGCCACATTCATTAACTCCTCCGTACCTGTGCACCAGAAGGAAAATAGAGGAGATCAGAGAGTGAAGCAGAAGAGCACTGAATCTTGTATTAATTACAGTGTGGAGAGCAAAGGCAACAATAACATGTCAGGCCAACTCATATTGCAACAATCAGTGATAGTAGCAAGTGATATGGGAAAAGATTTCCAGCACTCTGGGAATGATACAGAAAGGTAAGACAGATGTCAGGTTGCTTTCAAATCAATTATAAAGATTCAATAGGAGTGAGGATTTTTTGTTTAAAGCAGAGGCACAGAACTTGTAAGATAATATTTTTAAGCTTATTAGACAACAAAGCATTATATTCAAGTGTTGTACACTAGGCTTCTATATTAACAATTAAGAATCCTTTATGGTATTCTCCAGTTGGATGTTTTGCAGAAACTTTGGAGGAGATTAACTAGAAACTAGTGTAAGCTTTTTTTTGCCAGAATTATTCATTAGACATTCAAGATTCATATGTGTAAACTTTACAGCTAGTAACATTTAGAAAGCAAGAGAAAAAATTTCTTAAATCTACCATCCTAATCCCTTGATTTAGGCCAGTTTTCTGCTGTTGTGGTGACTGAAGAGCTAATGGCCTGCCCTGCTTTTGGTACTCCTCCAACATGCCTTAACCTACTTCTTAAAAGTAGAGGCAGGGGTGAGAGGCCAGTTCAACTTGTTATGTGTCCCCAGATTTTCTCCTGCATGAAGCAGAGTGGTTTATTATCTTCTTGGATTGTGTTTCTGCTGATTTGTATGGTTCTGGATGTACAGATAAGGGAAACAGAAGCTGATTTTTTTTGCAGTAATTCCTCAAGATTTGAGTTAAAGTTTCATAAGAATTCACTTTCAAAAACCTATGTCTTCAGAACAGTATGAAAGGTTTGGTTTTTTTGGTGACATTTTTTGTTTTGGTTTTGGGTTTTTTTTTTTGTTGTTGTTTTTGGGGTTGTGTTTTGTGTTTTTATTTTTTTTTTTTGGTGGGTTTTGTTTGTTTGTTTGTTTTGGGTTTTTTTGTTTTGTTTTGTTTTTTCGTTTGTTTTTTTTGTATAGTCAGTGGAAATAAGTGGACCCCTCCAGTAGTTTATTCAGTCATTGCTACACCACTTCTGGGACTCCACCTTTAGTGTGACTATTCATGGAGTAGAGCCCAGTGGAGATTAGTCCTTAGATAATTGGATTTCAGAAGTTATGTGATGTGAATATCCTCTACTGTTTCTGAACATATATGTCACATCTGGATTGTAATTTCATGTTTAGTGGCACAACTTTTCATTGGTCTCAAAGAACAGTGCTATGTTTTATGGTTGAAGTTTGGCAGATATGATAATCCACTTGTTTTAGTGAGGCCATGTGAGTCATAAATGTATTTATTTCTCCATGAGACTACATATGGCAGCATCCTTGATCCAGTCGTTTTGGCGGCAGTACCATAGTCAGAGGAAAAATGACTACAATAAAACAGAAAATCATCAGTTTGTAAAAGCTTTGAGACAGAAACATGAAGCTGCCACAGTAATCCAGGTTGGTTTCAAGTATTTTCTTATTTTGTAAGTTTAATAACAAAAAAATCTTTCTAGTTTTGTGTGTCATCTTCTATTTTTGCTTATTATCTTATTAAGTTTCATAATGAAACATCTTTGTTTTATTTAATCAGCATAAACTTGGTGTTTCTAAAACAGATACTTCTTTACAAAAAGCTTTATAGAAATATAAAAATATTTTCCCTTTTTTTCACCAACTATTTCCCTGATTTATTTTTACTTGATTTAACTCTAATATTATGTTTAAGATATACTGTGCCCATGTTCTTACTTGGGCCTGTGTATGCTATGAAACTGATGGATGCTGTGTAACTAGTGTGTTGTGTCTGATATCTATGTGACTAAATACTCTTCCTGTCTCTTCTATCCTACCTATCCATTTCTCTTCCCATCTCCAAAACCCAGGATTGCTTTATCTGTATTGTCCTTGGGAACAGACCATTGCCTAGGCTGTCCTATGGTAGATACTGAGGTAATAACAGTTGTTACTATGGCCAAGAGTTGAAATCTATACCTTGACTGTTTAGTTTGGTAACCAGTATTTGTCTGCCAAGTTGACATGGTTCATGGGGTTATTTCCTACATTTTGAAGCAAGTAAACTCTGTCTATTTCATATTTCAAGTTAACTTGGAAACATTCCATAGAGTAAGTCTTATATACAAATTTTAAAAGTGACAATGTGGTTTAGAGTTATTGGAGTAAAATGTGTAGCTAGCATATTAACAATTGATTTCCATAAACTTATTTAATCAATTTTTGAACTTGCTCATGTATTTGACCTCTACTATATATTAAAGTGGTGCATTTAACAAATCTACATAGTGATTAATATGTGCTTCCTTTCATCTGTTTCAAACATGGTAATTCCCAAAGTGCATATGAAAATAAAAGTAATTTATTATTTATCTTCTGTGCATATTACAGATTTTTAGATCTCGCATACATACATCCTTACATCCACTTTTTGTAAATAAAATTTTAGTCTGTTTAGTCTCTTTTCACATTTCTCCATAATTATCTTTTTGTTCCTCTCTGAACCTTTGCCACAATCTATTACAATCTTATTTAAAGAAGCAACAAGGACTGAATTCCATAGATAGATATAGAATGAATTTGTACAGTAAGAAAGTTTATATTTGGTTTCTTAAAAACTACTTCATGTGATTTTTCTTTTTTATCATGACTGAGCACTGACCTGGTGCTTTCATACATCTCTGTTAGCAGCTGCCTTACAATTTAGCCTTCCACATACATCATTAGGATTGCTTTTCTCCTTTGAATCTCTAAAAACTAATTGTCTTTGTTGAATGAATTATATATGTCATTTGATCACTCATTAATATCAGGATATTTTATCTGGATACTTATGAAGTTCTGTAGGAAAATAAAAACAATGAAATTATAAGAAAGCAGCTCTAAAACATTCAATAATTTTATTTTAATCAGGAAATACGTGTGTAGAATAACATTTTCAATAATTTATGTGGTTAGACAAACTTTTTCTAAAAATTAATAATCTAAATGTTGAGACAGATTGTGAGATTTACCCTTCTTATTTTAGTGCCTTCATTGCAGAGCCATTAAAGTGTGCAACACCACTTCTTTTATGACACTGAGAATATTTTGCATGGTGTTTTAAACACTTGAATTCTAATGATGTCAAATACTGATTTGGGGGGAAATTCCTGTCTTGTATGCAGTATTCTTAATTCCATTTATCTCATTTTGATCTCTGAAGTGTTTTTGCTGGACATGATTCTATGCTTGGCATATGTTCCTAATACCTTCCTAGTTTTCTAGGACTTTAATTCCTAATCTGCTCCCTTTTCTTAGACATGATTTTGCTTAGTGTATATTTTTTTAAATAAAGATCTTAGTTGAAAAAGGTTAACTGACCCAAGTCAATTACAGGAGACATCTCCAAGAATTGCCACTTGTAAACCATAAGATATTAAGTACATCTGTATTTTTATTCTCGGTAATTTGAAAGTTGGCACTCAGGTTTTTTTTATGTAGTCTTTCCTTTCAGTTTATAATAGTCCCTGAAGGAATTGTCAAATAATTAATTAGTTGACCCAGGTTTGTAGTTGAGGGAGTTGCAGGATTCCTTTCTGCTTACTAGTAGAGAGCCTCTTGAGTACTCTAAGCTTTAGACATATGCTGGCATTTAATTTGTCTTGTAGTTTTAAATGTCACATAAAGTTCAAAAAACAGATCATTGAGCTATTAAACAAAGGCCCAAGATGTTTTATCTTCCTAATGGGATAACATAGAGAATCTGGATTTGGGTTTGATCTATGGCTGTGTATAACATGCTTTAAATTTTTTGTTTAGGCATTTTGGAAGGGTTTTCTTTTGCGAAAGAAACTGTCCAGCGCTCTTGCAGATGTTAAAAGTGATGAAGTGGAAGATGAATATGAAGAAATAAATGTGGATGCTTTCACATTTTCTGAAGTAAGCACAGAAATTATCATAAAGTCTTCACTATTCTTCTTAACCAATCATGTAGATGTTGGAAATAAAAAAAATGCAAAGCACTATCAAGGCTAGAGTTAACACATTGGATGTCCAGAAATAAAGAAGCATTTGTTATCGATAGCTATTTTAAATGTATTTGTCTTGGATTAACTGCTTTCTGCTCTTTGAGATGCTCTGGTACTTATTGTGCTATTAATGCCACACCCTTTATAGAATGCCATGTATTTTTACAGCTAAAAGGGAATCAAATGAGAATAAGGAAGCAGTTCCTTTTATTCCAAAGTGTTTATATTTTTAGTATTTTAGTAACAAATTATAATTTCAGGAATATTTTAACGAGTATTTTCTTAATTCTCATGATAGAATGAGATCAATTTAGAAAATACTGTGACACTCAATGTCAGCTATATTCCAGTAAAAAGAACATATCCCCAAAGCAAAAGGTGAAGCAGGTTTATTATCTTATGTGTAATGTGCTAAAAAATCAGAGGTTTAAATACAGTAGTAAATTATGAAGAGAAATATGAGTAAATCAGAAGAAAAAAACCCACACCCCACACTTAGCAGCTCTGTTATGTCTAATAATCAGAAATTGTTACTAGTTATTTTTACAAGTTATATAGAGTTAGAAATGCTCTTTCAGTTTCAAAAGGATTGAAATTGGATGAGAAGCTTCCATTCTAAGAAATAAAAGTAGGCTGCAGAGGAATTTGAGGAATAACATGACATTCAAAACTGAATTTAGCTATGCTTAGGTAATAAATAAGCAATGTCTATGGGCTCAATATTGCCATTCAGTAAACAAGAAAAAGAATCTTTAAAGAATTTTTTTCTCTTTAGCCTCAAAAGACAATCTATATGGGAAGTTCTAGACCCAGTATGCATATTAAATAGTAAGGCAGCTGTTGATGAATCACCTATGTACTTGTCTGGAGAACTGCTTTCTCTAATTGTTCGCATTCATTGGCTGCCTTATTTTTTTTTTTTTTTTTTTTTTTTTTTAGTGCTTTCAGGTAAAGCAAAGAAAACTAACAGCAATGTGGCCTTTTGAGACCTAAGAGGATATAACTAAGATTTTTTTCGTGAACCCTTGTCTCTGAATGTGCTTATTCAGCTGCTGTGTCTTTGCAAGAGCCATTTATCAATATTGCACTGTAATGTTGCTAAGGAGATTGATGCAATAGCCCTGCTACTGGCAGGACTAGGTCTCATTTATAATTAGACGTTAGTATGGATCATGGAGTTATGAAACCAAGTATGCTGTTGGTTGGTGCAGTGCAGTTTGTAGTTGATCAGTCTTTGGTCATCTGATACCAGGATTCTTTTGCCAACTCCTGTCCATAGAAAATAGCTGAGCTTTCTATCAAATTATTGCAAATGAGGTGATGACTTAGGATAATTTTATTTTTTTCTTCTCCCTTTTAGCAACTATTTTAAGGTACGTTTTCAGAATTACTGCTTTATTTGAGAGCATGCAAAAGGTTTGATGAAGAAGTTCCAAGAGTCATTTGATGTAATGTGTGTAAACATAGAGATCTGGCTTAAATTTTAGGATTTTTTTTCATTTTAATTTGAAATACATATACAAAACAGTTTCATTAGTTGATGTTCTCTGATCCCTGGCTTCTTTCTAAAATAATAAAAAGCAGATCGTTGAAGGTTTTATTTCTTCACACAGGAAGGAAGTATCTGTTCGTATATTAAAGAAGGAAAATATCCTGTTTTGAATTACTCAGCCAGTAGGCCAGAGTTTTACACATAGTAATTCAGTTGAGCCATTCTTGCTTCTCTCTGTCTGGCCCAAATAACCCTGTCATGTTTCGTTTTGGGGTTTTTTAATTTAACTGAAAAGTACACAGACAGTTTTGTTCCATCTTTCTGTCAACAAGACAATTGCGTTTGGACAGGTGTTCCTGAGGCCCGGGAGAAAAGGAAGGGATGGAGAAGGCAGGAGAAAAAAGCCCAGTTGATTTCAGAGATTTGTACTGTATCACCCTCTAGTCTTGACACACCTTTTTTCCCCCCCCAAATTATTATTGAGTTTATCAGGAATGAAATAAAACATGGATTTAGGGAGAAATTCTCAGGAAGTGTTTAGGTTCAGATGATGACAGGTGAACCACGAGCTGACATTTTAATTTGCACAGCAGGCTCAAAGGTTGAACTGTGGACTGATGTCAAATAAGTTACTTAAGCCCCTAGCTTCTTGTGGTGAAAAATATAACGACATCTGTTTTCTACAGAGCAGTGCATATGATAAATTTAAAGTGTATATGTCTGTGAAGGTTATTTTTTTCAGTGAGTGAATATTTCAATGTTCAGCATTGATCATTGTAACTAGAATTAGTTTTATTTGCAATATTTGGTGGTTTTTTTGTTATTGTTGTTGTTTTTTTGTTGTTGTTGGGGTTTTTTGGCAAGTGTCTGTGCTGAAGAGATGATTTTGAGAAACGTGTGGCATAAGTATACTGGGCATGTACTCTACTCTGTCTAGCCCAGACTAGCTACTCAGTACTAGGTTGTCTGTTTCCATGTGTCTGTAGCTGTTTCATTCTCTGCAGTTGGGTAATACCAAATCATATGGATTTCCTACTTCTGGAGAAACAAGCAGCTGGAATTTCGAACAGTCTATACTTCTTATTCCTTCCTTTCTGGTCTCAATGTTTTATAGCAAAGTGCTGAAGCAGAGCCAAATAATGACACATGGTATCAGTGGCTATCTGTTGTGTCTCAAACAAGTGTGTGGGGAGGAGTACATATTGCTGGGCTAAGAGATCCCATATGCTAGGGTTTGAAGGAAGAGAAAAATATTTGGATACCATTTTGTACTGCAGATTTCAGTGTTGTATAGGGTGAGTGAAATGAGAAAAGGGCAGAAAAACCTTTCCTTATTGGAAACTGATACAAATGTCTTAAATCTTGTCTAAAAGCTTTTTGAATAGTTGTGTTTTTGTTGTGGTGGCTTAGGTTTTTCTTATACTGTTATGTAGATTTCAGTCATTATCATTTTATTCAGTGTTATCTAACATTTTTCAAAATCACTACTGAGCAAGCACCTATCTAAACCATTTGTAAATATCACAGCGCAATAAGTCATTAGGCATCAGGCTTCACAAAAATGATGTTTAATATCTTCATTATAAACTCAGTGTACCCAGTGTTCCATGGAAGGTGAGGCTGTGAAACAGCATGGGGGAAACCCTAGTCTTTGATAAAGATCTTCATTTATGCCCAATGAACAATAGTATATTTTTAGTATTTTATTCAACTATAATTATATTAAAATATATTAAATTATATTAAAATATAATTATATAACTATAATTTAGTATTTTTATTTAACTATAATTATTTATTTAATTAAACACCATATCACATGAAAAATGGATTGTATGTGATTGGGTAGAGGAATGGGCTTTATCTTTCTAACAATAGCATGAATACTAGTCGTTTCACCCAAACCATTGCTGATACCTTCTTGTATTCATATCAGCTCCCATACATTGCCAAAGCCATCCAGAGGCAATTGATGGCAGTAGTGTTTTGTGTCTCTGATTGTGCGATGTCAAACAGGCTATCCCACATGACATGAAAGATCTGGCCAACAGATGTTTCACAAAGTATGAGCTTGGTATTTAGTGATATCTTCACGTCTTTCATGTGGACTTTGGAGAATTCCAGCCTACATGCTCCAGAAGGCTGATCTTAAGGCAACCTTTCATCAGCAGTCCATCCATGTAGCAAATGATCTACAAGGCAGAGCTCACTTTACCTCTGGTGGATGAAATCTGACAGCACATTTGCTTGACACAGCTCTTACTTCATACAATCTAACTATCGTATTATTGTTCTCTTAAATGTAAATATGATGTGAGCCAAATGCAAAAGTCTAAACTTGCCAAGGTGTCAGAAAGCTGAATAAATTAAATATGATGAGTTTTTAGACTATTCTTCACCCTGAGCAATGACCACTGAATAAATTACTATTTTCCTACACTGAATAAAAATATGGACACGTCTTATTCTCATAAAGAGAAATATCAGTATTGATGATTACATGGCACATCAAGTAAGTACTCTATTTTAAAAACTTCATTTTTAATTTAATTTAAATCACTTTAGTCATACTTTTTCAAAAAGAAAGTCACTTTATAAGTTGCAACCAAGTTAAATAAAAATGCATCACTTTGTTCATCAAGGGAGATAACACTGTTGTCCTGAGACAGTATCTTTCTTTTTCTGAGCTTGATTATGTAGATTTTTTATATTCCATTCTTTTTGATAGCTTTTGAAATTATTGTTCAGGAGTTTCCTTATTTTTTTTTTTGTTTTTTCTTGCATATCCACACTCAGGCACATAGCCATTCCTAATTTTTGCTTGTCTTCCACAGCAGTTTTATTTTTCTTTCTTCTCATTTTTTTCTTTTCTGAGGAGTGGGAAGAGTAAGAACTAGCTCATATGTGCTCTTAATAAGTAAACAGTAATTAGAAAAAGAATTTCCTCATGTCTCCCATCTTTAATTTTCTTATCATATGTCCAAACTAGACCCATATGATGTGTTTTGTTTTCTTTTCTGATAATCCTCCATAATGTGGTTTGTCTCAGACTGGAACTTATGATTGTGAATTTGTGACAGTGATTGCTGTATTCTGGCTAGTAACAGGAAAAAGTGTAGCCCGTGGATTAGAACGTCCCCATAACATTTCTTGTATCTTGACACTCTTATGTATGTTTAGCTCCTGTAATTGCTTATAAATGTCAGATCGGCATCCAGCCATTCTGTATTGTATGCTGCAAAGAATATGATCCTTTTTTCATCAAATTTCATGTAAAGTTACAGTATTTTAGAAAACCAAAAAAGTGTATGTTGAAAATTTCAGTAGATCCATACCCTTCTTTTAAGAAGGAGGAAAAACCTCTCTCCTAAGGAGTCTATTGGAGGATCAATCTTTTTTCCATGAGTGTTTATCAATAA